CTGCCATATGGCTCATTACCCTCCTTAGTACCATATATCTAACTTCTTCCGTGTCTGGATGGCAAACCTCCTGCCTCACAATGTTTTTCAGAGTTCCCATCTCTGTCCGTAAGTTCTGCCTATCCTTTCCTGCCTTGCTGTTTAGCTCTTTATTAAACCAATCAGAAGGTGCCTTAGGCAGGTGAGATAAAACTGTACAAAAAGATTGTCCTAGCACAAAACCCCTTGAATAAAGGGATGACCAGGTTCCTCTGAGGAAGGACCTTGATAAAACACATAAAAGCTTTAGTCTTAGCCTTTTTCCAGTCCTTCTCCAGAGAGAACAATGGCCTTTTACACTGGGAGAAAGGAAACAATCAGATTTTCCAGAGTTTATTGGATTACAGATTCTGAATTAATGGTGATTCCAGGAGATCCTAAGAAATATTGTGGCCCTTCAGTTAAAGTAAGAGTTTATGGACATCAGGAGATTAGTGAAGTTTTGGTTGAAATCTCACTCAGGGTAGGTCCAGTGGCTATTCTCCAAGTCCCAGAATGTATAATTAGGATAGATACACTTAGAAGTTGACAGAATTCTCACATTGGTTCCCTGACTGTAGAGTGAGGGCTATAATGGTTGGAAAGGCTAAGCAGAAAATAGTAAACCAGAAACAGTATTGTATCCCTGGAAGAACTGCAGAAATTAGAGACACCATCAAGGACTTGAAAGATGCAGCAGGGGTAGTAGTTCCCATCACATCTCCCTTTAACTCTCCTATCTGGCCAGTGCAGAAGACAGTTGGATTATGGAGAATGACAGTTGACTATTGAAAATTCAATCAGGTAGTGACTCTGAGCTGCTGTACTACGTGTGGTATACTTACTTGAGCAGATTAACACATCTCCTAGCACATGATATGCAGTTATTGATCTAGCAATTTTTTTCCGTTACCTGTTCATAAAGACTATCAGAAGCACTTGAGCAGATTACACATCTCCTAGTGCATGATATGCAGCTATTGATTTTTTTTCTCTGTTACCTGTTCATAAAGACCATCAGAAGCAAATTGCTTTCAGTTGGCAAGGCCAGCAGTATATGTCTTAGTTAGGGTTTCTATTGCTGTGAAGAGACATTATGACCATGACAACTCTTATAAAGAAAACATTTAATTGGGGTGGCTCGCTTATAGCCTCAGAGGTTAATCCATTATCACATTGGGGATCATGATGGCATGCAGGTAGATGTGCTGGAAATCAGAGTACTATATCTGGAAGGCAACAGGAAGTCGACTGACTGTCACACTGAGGAAAATTTGAAAAGAGAGAGAGAGAGACCTTAAAGCCTGCCTCTGCAATGAAATACTTACTCCAAGAAGACCATACCTCCTAATCACATAATTTTCTTTCAAACCACCACAGTATACCTTTACAGTTTTACCTCAAGGATATATTAACTCTCCAGCCCTGTGCCATCATTAGAAGAGATCTTGTTCATTTGTCTCTTCCACAAAATATCACATTTGTGCACTATATTGATGACATTATGCTAATTGGGCCAAGCGAGCAGGAAGTAGTTCACCACTGTGTAATCATTGGTAACACTATACATATAGGAGGATGGGAAAATTAATCCAACCAAAATTAAATGGCCTTCTACCTCAGTGAAATTCTTAGGAATCCAGTGATGTGAGGCATGCAGAGATATTCCTTCTAAGGTGAGAGATAAATAATTGCACTTGGCTCCTACCATCGAGAAAGAAAGGCAATATTTGAATTCTTGAGATAGCACATCCTTCACTTGAATGTGCTACTCTGGTCCATATACCAACCCTACTTTATGTGGGGTCTGGAATAGGAGAAGTGCTCTTCAACAGGTCTAGGCTGCTCTACCACTTGGACCTTATGATCCCAGGAGACTCAATGGTACTTGAGGTGTTAGTGGCAGCTAGGGAAGATATCTGTATCCTTTGGCAGGTCCCCTAGGTGAATCACAGAAGAGACCTTTGGGATTATGGAACAAGGCTCTACCATGATCTACAGACAACTATTCTCTCTCTAAAAGACAGCTCTTGGCCTGCTATTGGGACTTAATGGAAACTGAACATATGGTAATGGGCCACCAAGATACTATGAAACATGAGCAGCCCATTATGAGCTGGGTGTTATCTAACCCACCAAATAAGAAAGTAGGATGAGCACAGCCACAATCTATTATCAAGTGGTATATACATGATCAGGCCCAGGCAGGTCCTGAAGGCATAAATAAGCAAGTTACATGAAGAAGTTGCTCAAATATCTATGGTTTCTACTCCCATTACAATGCCATCTGCTACCAAGTATGTACCTATAGCCTCATGGGGTGTTCCCTATGACTGGCTGACTGAAGAAGAGAAGACCAGGGCCATGTTTACTGATGGTTCTGTGTATTATTCAGGCATCACCCAGAAATGAAGTTATAGCATCATAACCTCTTTCTGTGACAGCCCTGGAAAAGATAATAGCGAAGGGAAATCTTCACAGTTCACAGATCTTCAGGCATGGTCATACATTTTTGTTTGGAAGGAGAAATGACCAGATGTGTAATTGTTTACTGATTCATGGGATGTAGCAAATGGATTGGCTGGATGATCAGGGACTTGGAAAAAGCAGGATAGGAAAATTGGTGAGAAAGACATCTGGGGAAGAATATGTAGATAGATCTATCCCAATGGTTGAAGGAAGTGAAGTTACTTGTGTCCCATGTAAATGCTCATCCAAAGGTGACTTCAACTGAGGAAGCATTCAATCATCAAGTAGGTAGGATGACCCATCCTGTGGAATACATCCTTTTCTCCTAGCTATTCCTGTCATTGATGAATAGGTCCATGAACAAAGTGGCCATGGGGACAGAGATGGGGCTTATACATAGGTTGAACAACATAGACTTCACTCACCAAGGCTGAGCTGGCTACAACTGCTGCTGAGTGCTAGATCTGCCAACAGTAGAGACCAGCACTGAGTCCCAGATATGGCTCCATTTCCTGGGGTGACTAGCCAGCCACCTGGTGCCAGGTTGGCTACATTGGAACACTTCCTTCATGGAAAGGATAACACTTTGTCCTTACTGAAGTAGATAGTTATTCTGGTGTGGATTGGTTTTCCTGCATGTTATACTTCTGTCAAAATTACCTGTGGACTTACAGAATGCCATATCCACAGAATGCTATCATGGTATTCCACACAGTATTACTTCTGACAAAGGAACTCATTTTTCAGTCAGCAAAGTGCAACAGTGGGCCCACGCCCATGGAATCCACTGGTCTTATCTTATTATCCTGGAGCATCTGCCTTCATAGAAATAGCCTCCCCCTTCCCTTTGGTATTTTAAGACATGGTTTCTCTGTGTTTAAGAGCCCTAGTTGTCCTGGAACCCACTCTAGACTAGGCTGGCCTCAAACTCTCAGAGATCCACCTGGCCCTGTCTCTCAAGTGCTGGGATTAAAGGTGTGCACCACCAGGATCTCAGTTTTTCTTTAGTTCCCCTCCCCCATTCCCCAGCCCCACAAGTTTCTTCAAAAGGCTATTCCAAAGCTGGTAGTGACACAATTACAACAATTAGGTGACTGCAGCCTGGAGGGCTAGAGCAGGGTTTTCCAGAAGGTGGCATATGTTTTTAATCAGCATCCAATACATGAAATGGTGTCTCCCATAGCCAAGATTCATGGGCTCACTATCACCCCTAATGACACACTGGGAAAACATTTGCTTCCTGTTCCCACAAGTTGAAGTTCTGCTGGCCTAGAAGTTTTGGTTCCAGAGGGGTAGGACTCCTGCCAGGAGCCATAATAAATAGTCCATTGAACTGGAAGCTCAGACTTCTCTTGCCCACTTTGTTTTCTGATGCCCTTAAGCCAACAGGCTAAGATAGGAATAACCATGTTAGGAGGGGTGATTGATCCAGATTACAACAAGGAAATTGGGTTGCTTCTTCACAATGAAGGTAAGAAAGGTTATGTCTCAAGTGCAAGTGATCCTTTAGGGAAGTGTTATGATCTTTAATAAAGTTAGTTTCTCATGTTGTGCTGACCCCCAACCATAAAATTATTTTTGTTGCTACTTCATAACTGTAATTCTGCTAGTGTTATGAATCATAATGTAAATATCTGGTACGTGGGGTAACTGATATGCAACCTCTGTAAAAAGGTCATTTGACCCCCAAAGGGGTCGAGACCCACAGGTTGAGAATCCCTGCTTCAGGGTGTCTCTTGGTGCTGTCATGTCCTGTTATTAAAGTCCATGGAAAACTACAACAGCCCAGTCCATGCAGGATGACAAAGGGCACAGACCCTTCAGGGATGAAGGTATGGGTCATTCCTTGAGGGAAGAGCCAAGACTTGCTGAGGTGCTTGCTGAGAGTGGAGGAAATCCAGAATGGGAGGCAGAGGAAGGCAGAAATACCAAATAAAGCCCCATGACCAGTTTCAGAAATGAGAATTAAAATTGACATTTGTGTTTCTGTTATATTTTCTTAAGAATGTGTTTGTACAGATACTTGTTTTATTTCCTTTCTCTTTATCATGTACTGTAACATCAATTAAGAGAGCTATCACTGGTTACTATATTTGAGATACTAAAAGAGTATCTCTTCAGGGACATTGCCACCTATTCTAAATTTATAATGTGTTTGTGGTTGTATGAGGTTCTATCATGTTTAGATAAGCAACCTAGTTGTTTGCATTTATAATTTAATTATTAATTCAGTTAACAGATTGAATCAGTATGGTGCTACACATTTGTAATCCCAACACTTATGAGATAAGGCAGGAGGATTACAAATTTGAGATCAGTCTGGCTTACACAGGAAGACCCTGCTTATGTGGGAAAAAACCAAAAAAACCAGAACAAAACAAAACTGATCTGCTGATTTATGGTGTCAGTGTCACCATTAAAAACAACACATGGATTAAAGAGCAAACTCATACCTGCACAAGAACTATTCCATAACATACTCCTCACTACAAATTAAAAATATAGTGCACAGGTCTCTTCCATTTGGGGTTTATTGATGAGCTTGTATTAGATCACTGCTACTCTGGCTAGAATATGAGCCACAGAAAGAGCCATTGGGTAGCAAAGCCCTAATGATGGCCTTATAGGACAAAACCCAAAGCTGTTCAAGCATCAGAAATACACAAATTTGGATCACTAAGACTGAAACCTGCTAGTGCTGACCTTGGCATCCACACCCATGGGCCACATCCAGGAATTGCTAGAGATGGTTTGCAACACAGCAAAGCATGTCAGCTATGTTCATTGTGATTAAATTCCAAGTGTCTGTTTCCACGCGGTATAGTAACAGAAGGACAAATCCCAAAGAAGGCTTATCATCAGTCTCATTGTTGCTCAACTCAGCAGTGCAATCTTACTGTGTGGTCAGTCTGTGAAGTAGATCTAAAGAAAAAAAAAAAAAGAAAAGAAAATTCAGGATTCTCACTGTTCTTACACTGCATGATGTAACAGGAATTTCCATTCTCAGTGTAAGATTTCTCTATGATTGTGAAAAAGGTATTTCCCATTACTAGCTATTCACCATTCTTTCTTCAACTTACCTCTTTTTGTCCTTTCACTTTTTATCTACAAAAAATAGCTATGAAAGTATTACGTATGTACGTATGTACATACGTACATGTGTGTGCTGCTGGTTATCAAACCTAGGGCCTCATGCATACCAGGCAAGCATTCTGCTACTAAGCTATATCTCCAGCCCTCCAAAAGATATTTGAACATTAAGATCTGGGCATAGTTGGGCATGGTGGTACATATCTTTAATTCCAGCATTCAGGAGGACAAGGCAAGTAGATCTGCATGAGTTGGAGGCCAGTAATGTCTACATAGGGAGTTTTAGGCCAGCCAGGGCAACATGGTGAGTCTGTCTATATAAAATAAAATAAATAAAAAAGGTGTGCATGGTGGCTCATGCCTATAATCCCAACACTTGAGAAGCTGAAACTGAACTTTTGTGACAAGCTTGAGGTTAGCATGGGCTGCACGCTAAGTTTCAGATAACTTGGCATACAGAGCAAGACACTATCTCACCCCTCATTCCCCAAATAACTCTATTAAACCTCAAACCTGGCTGTTAGCTACTGCAGGTGAATCATGGCAACTGGAGAATATATATGCAGGACACACAGAAAAGACATTGCTAAAATTGCCAAAACAAGATGGAACAGTCCTTCAAAATTCCTGCTTCACAGAAAAGTCTGTCAGATATTCTAGGCCTGTAGGCTGAAGATGCATGTTCCAATGTTGCAGAGGGACCTTGGATGATTGTCTAGGGAGCCAGATGCCTTGTCATTTCATAATTTTGGAAGTTGCTCGCTCTGAACTTCCTGTTTACTCAGGTAAAATTGTATCCTTTGGGGGGTCTTTGATGGAAGTGAAGACTAGATAGTTATAGTTTTTCTTAGTTATGCCAGAAGATAAATTAGGTACAAAACTTTGGACTCCTCAAGAGAGAATAGATATGAAGTACTTTGTCTAAACTTGCCAAATACAAATGAACTGGACATTGTAAATATAATTCTTTTTTGTTGTTGGTATTTCAAGACTGGATTTGAGTAACAGCCCTATCTGTCCTGTAACTAGCTCTGTAGACCAGGTTGGCCTCAAACTCACAGAGATCTGCCTACCTCTGCCTCCCAAGTGCTGTGATTAAAGGTGTGTGCCACTACCGCCCAGCATAAATGTAATTCTTACTTGATAATTCTTACTGTATATAATTTCATTTGTTAAAGTTAATGCCTTTCCTTTCTATTTAGACAACACCTGATAAATGTTCATACTGTATATAATTTTAATGTGTATATTCAAGTTAAAACTGTTCCTTTTAGACAAAAAGGTGGATATTTGTGAAATAATTTTTTTGTGTACTGTGAAGATGTGTCATTGATTGGTTTAATAAAAATCTGAATAGACAATAGCTAGGAAGATTTTGAGGACACAGAGGATGCTAGGAAGGGTGGAGTTGCCAGGAAACTTGTAAGAAGCATGACATATACGAGACGAGGTAACAAGCTATGAGCCATGTGGCAGCATGTAAATAGGAATGGGTTAATTTAAGGTATAAGAGCTAATTAGAAACGAGTCTAAACTATTGGTTGAGCTTTCACAATTAATAATAAGTCTCTGTGTGGTTATTTAGGAGCTGATGGGACAGAGAAAGACTTGATACATACATACATACACACATACATATATATGCTACTGAAATAGGATTTGAGGGTATGGGTACATGCTTAGTATATATGAAGTCCTAGTTTAATCCCAGACAACAGATATATCAGTTAATATTCTGGAAGTTTACTTTTTTCATGGAGCAATCTGGAAGGCACAGTGATTTAGTGGAAAGTGTAGTGGAAAGTTCAGAAACAATTAGGGGAGAATCACAAATGTTTAAAATAAATGAACGTCTAACTGAAAAGAGGCTGAGTATGTGGCTGGTAAAGTGATTATGATGCCCAAAGTCCTGGTTTCATTCACCAGCAATGAATAAAAACTGGGTGTGGTGGTACATACTTGTCATCACAACACTCAGGAGGTGGATATAGAAAGATCAAGGAGTTCAAGGCAATCCTCTGTTACACAGCGTTTGAGTTCAACTTGGTCTGCTTCAAACAGCAACAAAAATCAGAAGATCCTATCTCTGTCATCATATATTTCAAGATGTGGTCATAATTCTCATATATCTGCACCCATTTTCTCTTGGTTATACATTGTCATGATTATTAAAAGCTTAAGGGCAATATGTAGAAATCTTTGAGTGTAAGTTCCTTACCTTCACCATCTCTATTGTGAGATCACAAGTGAGTAAAGAACTTAGCAGAATACCTTTTTCACATTATGTATAATAGGTTCTCCAGTGCAAAATCTTAAGTCTTTCAGAAGTTCACAAGAAGAAAGGCTTTCATATTTGTGACATTATATGGCTTCAGGGTGAGCTCACATATTAGTGCACTTTGATGACATTTTATTGGCTGTGATGTTTCTTAAACTCATGGACATCTTGAGAACAAGAGATTTCATGTCTTTCAAGTAAGCTGGTCTGCAAGCTAACCCATATTTCTTATATTAATAAGGCGTCTCACCAGTGTAAGTTCCATTATGACTACGATGTGAATTCTCTAAGGACTTTCAACATTCATCCCATTCAAAGGGTTTCTTCAGACTTATTTATTAAATGTTCAGTTAGTTGATAAAACTTATTGAAGTTTTTTCCACACTCTTGGCACTTAGAGGAAAGCTCTCTATCATGGATTTGTGCATGGTGATAGAGGTTTGAGGATGTTGTGAAGGTTTTCCCACATTCCTTGTAGGGCTTTTCACCCATATGAGTTCTTACATGTTCAGCTAGGTTAGAAGAAACAGTGAATTCTTTTCCACAGTACCTACATTTATAGGGTTTATCCCAGCGTGAATTTGGATGTGCAAGAGGAATTTCCAAAGAGTTTCCCACATACTTTACATTCAAAGGACTTTTCCCCAGTGTGAGTTTTTTCATGGTCAGTCAGCAGGTAACACCTTTTGTATGCTTTCCCACATTCCTTACATTCATAGGGTTTCTCTCCTGTGTGAGTCCTCTTATGGACAATCAGACTTGAGGATTTAGGCTTTCTCACATTCCTTACATTCATAGGGCCTCTCTCTAGTATGTGTTCTTATATGTTCAGATAAACTTGAACAGTGAAGTCTTTTCCACAGTACTTACATTTATAAGGTCTGATTCCAGTGTGAAGATGAATGTGTTTAATACGGCATGCAGAACTTCTAAAAATTTTTCCATATACTTTGTAATTAAAGGTTTCTCCACCATATGAGTTTTTAAGTGTTCATTCAATGTATAACATCTTTTATAAGATTTTCCACATTCCCTACATTTGTAAGGTTTCTCTGCACTGTGAGTTCTTACATGTTTCTGTAGATAGGAGTTAGTGTGGAAAGCTTTCCCACAATTATCACATTTATAGGGTTTCTCTCCAATATGTGTTCTTAGATGTTTATGAAGGTAAGAAGATGCATGGAAGGCTTTCCCATATTCCTTACATTGATAGGGGGGTTTCTCTCCAGTATTAATTCTTAAATGTTCAGTCATGTTTGAAGAAATAAAGAAGGATCTCCCACACAACTTACATATATAGGGCTTTTGTCCAGCATGTGTTTGTATATGTATAGGAAGTCCTGAGTGCTTAGTAAAGGCTTTCCCACATTCTTTACACTTAACATGGTCTCTCTCCAGTATGAATTCTGAAATGTTTAATTAGACTTGAAGAAGTTGTGAAGGATTTCTTACATTTTACATTCATAAAGTTTTTCCGCAGTGTGGGTTCGCATGTGACTATTAAGATTTGAAGAATACCCAAAGATTTTCCTACAAACCTTACATTCATAGGACTTCTCCCCAGTATGGATTCACATGTGACTATTAAGATTTGAAGAATAGCCAAACACTTTCCCACAAACCTTACAGTCATAGGCTTTTATGATATATTTTTGAATAGGCAGAGCTCTACTTGTGGAACCTGTAAAATCTCCTGCAAATTGAGTCAATTCACAGAATTTTTCCCCATTATACATTCTCATATGTGCCTTAAAATATCACTGATTAAGGAAGTATATGCTTATCCTGCAAGCCTGTTCTCTGGCGAGTAACATTTGGGGTTACACTAAAGTCTCCTGCATACTGATTTAACACAGAAAGTTCCTGGCTCATAGATGTTTCCTTATGCAGATTGAGAAATTGCTTTCCACACTGATTAGAGTCACAGGCATTTGAATTTTCAGTTTTTATATGCCTTTTAAAATATGAATGTTCTCTGAAGATATCTTTATGTTGTATACAATCCCAGAGTTCCCAAGCACTGTGTCTTCCTTCCTGTTGATGAAAGAATGAATATAACCAATGGATTGTTCAAAATTAAGGGTCTCAACCCTTATGAAGACAGAAATATTATTAGATGCTTAACATTCTTATCACATTTATACAATTTCTGCTGTTTTTTTCCCATTTGAATGAAGGGACCCTAATGGGAGAATCATCTATAATCTGTTCTAACTTTGAAATGATTCATGTATGCCTCCATAAAATTCTCTAAAGACTCTCAAAGCAGAGTTACGTATGTGGGGAATGCATATTTGTGGAAATTCTTGAAGCCCAAACTTTTAAGCATGGATTGGGGTACCCCAAATTCATCATATTATGAGTATCCATCAAAGACAGAGATCTCTTACAAAAGAGATTGTCATTTCTTTTTTTTTTTTTTTTTTGAGAAAAGGTTTCTCTGTGTTAACAGCTCTGGCTGTCCTGGAACTAGCTCTACAGACCAGGCTGGCCTCAAACTCACAGAGATCTGCCTGCCTCTGCCTCCCAAGTGCTGGGATTAAAGATATGTGTCACCACTGCCCCCCCTTTCTAATGTATGTTTCTATTTTGCACTAACTTTCTACAGATGAATTCCCAATTCTTTCACAGACTTTTAAGAGAGTTCTGTAAATTAATTTTAGAGGTCACCCACATTGTTGCATCTCCTCTGTATAAGTGAATAATGATTAAAGTACATTATTTATAGCTAGCATTGCAATGTACTTAAAACCCAGCATTTAGAAGATGAAAATAGGAGGAACAGGAGTTGCTGTCCTTAGCAACATAACAACTCTGAGGATAGGGACTACATGAGATCCTATCTTTTTTTTAAAATGCATCATTAGAGTATTATGATTTTTATTGTTTTCATGACATTTTTTTTTAGGATATACTGCTTTATAGCTCTTTTTATATTTTTTATAACCAATAATTAAATTTTATTTTATGTACATTGGTGTAAGGGTATCAGATCCCTTGGAACTGGAACTATAGACAGTTGTAGGCTGCTACATATGTGCTAGGATTTGAACCTGGGTCTTCTGGAAGAACAGCCAGTGCCCTTAACTGCTGAGCCATCTCACAGCCACATTTTCATGACATTCTTAAAGTTGCTATGTGGTTTCTAATCGAGCTGAAGGAACAATAGTACTAGATCAGCTTAAATGTTTAAAAAAAATGTTAAGCATGTTATAAAATTGTTTTAAAGGGCTTAGCATGTAAAATGCTTGCTACACAAGCCTGACAATTGATGACTGATACCCCCAAACCAGATACAGTAGCATGCATCTGTTATTTCAGCACTATTACTCTGAGATGGAAGGCAGAAACAGGAGAATTGGCCAGAAGCTTATGCAGTAGCAAACATAAGAGAGACACAGTCTCAACATGGTTGAAGGGCAGAACTAACTCTTGAAAGCTCTCTTGACTTCCATAAGAGGGGCATGACATAAACTTCGCTGGCACATGTATACACACGTGTACACACACACACACACACACACACACACACACGACATACTTACAGCTTACCTGGGCAGCACAATAGGGGTGACCCTGTTGGCATAGGTGAACCAGCCCTGGGGCACGAGAGTGGGAGAGCTGACCCCACATCTCGTCTGGCATGTGGTGGCCTGGGTGAGGGAAAGATTCCTTCCCCATCCCATCACCACCTGTGGCAGGCAGGAGAGCTCGCCTCAGGGACATTAAAACCAGAGAGCTTGTCCTGCCCCTCACCAGCTGCAGCACTCAGAAAAGTGGGCCCTGCATCTCATTTGGGCAACACAGTAGGGCTGATCCTGGTAGTGTGGATGCAAGTGAGCATGCCTCCAAGGTCATGAGAGCAAGAGAATCAGCCCCACCTCTTGCTGACTGCTGCACTGGATGACTAGCCCAGGTGGTGAGAATGAAGGAGAGCAGGCAGGCTGACTAACTCATCCCAGAACCACCCAGGCCCAGAACCAGGGCGTGAGTTGGGCTACCCCAATGTCCACCCCATCTATGAACTGCAGGAGCTCATGAAGATGCCGGTCCTACAGACCCAAAGCTATACAGTCTCCATGACACAGGGCAACAACAGAATATCCAAGAGGAGTCCTAGTGAGGGACTATGTTTAAACACCAGTTTCTATAGTGTAGCAGAAGCCAGAGGCCTTGCTCCAGATCAATGACTCATTGCAATGTACATTTGCAAGTAAAGATGCATGGACCAAAGGGTACACTCTGTGACTCACTGTGGATATTACAGCTTGTACAACAAGATTTTTTTCTCTTTTAAATTGTATTTTTGGGGGGAGGGGGAGGTTGCAAGGGCAAAGGGCAGATACAAAAGTATGGGAAGATGAATGGGATCAGGACACATGATGTGAAACCCACAAAGAATCAGCAAAAGTTTTTAAAACTTCAGTGTCTAGTTACACATGGAGAAATGTGTACTTGTGGGAACCTTGAAGGATTTGGTTTTATGATGAATTTGACTGTTGTAGACATTATTTTAAGGTGTGCCACTTTTGTTTATGCGGTGGAACATCTGTTTGATGATGTAAAGATGTGCTGCTTTTGTTTATGCTACATTTGTTTAACTCTGTGAAGCTGTGAGTCTTTGCCTGTCTGAAACACCTGGTTGGTCTAATAAAGAGCTGAATGGCCAATAGTGAGGCAGGAGAAAGGATAGGTGGGGCTGGCAGGCAGAGAGAATAAATAGGAGAAGAAATCTGGAAAGTTGGAGGAAGGAGCAAGAGGGAACAAGGACAGGAGTGGGTCAGGGGCCAGCCACCCAGAGAGCAACAGAGTAAGAGTGAAAGAAAGATATGCAGAAGTAAGAAAATGTAAAAGCCCCGAGGCAAAAGTTAGATGGGATAATTTAAGAAAAGCAAGAAGCCAAGCTAAGGCTGGGTGATTATAATTATGAATAAGCCTCCATAGATTTACTTGGGAGCTGGGTGGAAGGCCCCCAAAACACCAAGAACAAAGTACAAAAGAGCCAGAAAAGTAATAAACAACAGCTACATTTGACACTGTTACAGTGAGCACTTCTGGTTTAAAATGCTGCTCCCTTACCTACACAATCTTGAGTGAATGCTACTTATTTTCCATCAGTGGACTTTTTAGTTTTTTCAGAGTGTGGGAACTAACAAATATCCTTGATCAATCTTACCATTTGCACCACATTGGAAGTTTGTTCCCTTCAAGGGTCTTGCATTTCCCATTCTAAAAAATGACATAAAAACAAAACAAAATCAAGATTTAGAAATGAGAGGTATATTGCAAGAGTAGAAAGTGACAAATCTTGCCCAGTGTGGTGAATAGTATCAGGAGGTTTAGGCAGAATGCCTGAGTTTAAGACTAGTTTAAGACTACAATGTGAGACCCCACTAAAATATATAAATAAAAATGCAAAAAAAGAAACTAAAGTTTGACCATTTTAATTAGGTTAAAGCTTGGCAAGCATAAAAATGTGAGTCATAGTTTTAGACAGTTTATTACAATTTTTTTTTCTCCCCAAGTCAGGGTCTCCCTGTGTAGCTGTGGCTGTCCTGGAACTCACTCTTTAGACAAGACTGGCCTCAAACCCAAGATATTCATCTGCCTTTGCCTTCTGAGTGCTGGGATTAAAGGTGTGCACCACCACTGCCCAACTACAAAATTTTAAAATGAAAACTGATGGTAAAAAAAGAACATTATCAGGGATAATGGTAAGGAAAGATCTCAACACAGCATAGGGCAAAATTATAAAAAAGAAACACAACAGGTATTTTGTGGGATCACAGAAAAAGTCTGAGCAAAGTATAAGAAATCCAGAATTGCTTCTGACATCAACTGTATCTTTGAAAGCTTCATTATAAGACTAAAGATATAGCTCAGTAGTAAGAGTGTTTGCCTAAGGAAGCTCAGGGTATAATGCCTAATACTGAAAAAAAAGAAAAAGTTTCATTATAGCTGGGTGTGGTGGTACACACCAACAATTCTAGTACCCAGAAGGTAAAGGTGGGAATGTTGTAGGGGCCAGCCTGGGTTACACAAGGAGCCCCTGCATCAAAGCGGAGAAAACAAAAAACAAAAAACTTTATACTATTTCCAGATTTAAGGAACTTCTTGATCACAACTGTTTTCCCATGAATACTCACCCTGGAAATCTTCTCTTTGCACTGTCTGTAAATCTTCCTCTAACCAGGATATCAGACTGGGTTTGATCATCTCACATCCTACACATAGGGGAAAAATGTATCATTGGAAGCGATTCATACTTAACACAAAGAAAATGATAATTTTTAGGGCCCTCCCTCCCTTCCTTTGTGTGTGTATGTGAGTGTGTGAACATGAGCCCAGAGTTAATGACAGGTGTTTTCTTTGGTTACTGTCCACCTTTTACACTGAGGCAGGGTTCATCAGCTCCGGGCAGCCTACCTTGCCAGCTTTCCAGGAGGATCTGCTGTTTCCTGAGAATCACAGGCAGCCACTGTGCCTGCCTATTTTTCACATGGGTTTTGGGGTGAAACTATGGCACTTTATCATCGAGCCACCTCCATAGCCCTGCAGCCTGTTTTCTAAGACTTGGGGTTCACTGATTATGACTAGGCTGGCTACCCAGTGAGCCCCCAAGATCCTTCTGCACCCAAGCATTAGGATTACAAGTGAATGCCAACATATCTTTTTTTTTTTTTTTGAGACAGGGTCTCACTATGGAGCTTTGGCTGGCCTAGAACTCAATTTGTAGATCAGAATGGCCTCACAAAGATCTTATCCCAAGTGCTGGGATTAAAGGCATGAATCACTACACCTTCCTGGCTCTACAATTTTTTGAAACACACACACACACACACACACACACACACACACACACACACACACACACTGTACTGGTGTGCAGTCTTTAATAACAGCACTAGGGAGGTAGAGGCAAGAGGATCTCTGTGAGTTTGAGGTCAACCTGGTCTACACAGAGTTTCAGGACAGCCAGAGCTACATAGTAAGACACCTTGTTTCAAAGAAAAATTATTAAAGTTTATATGCTAGGAGTTAGGGGTGTAGTGCAGTGGTAAAGCACTTGCCTAGGTATATTCTGCAGATCTGTAAAAACAAACACCCCTCTACAAACAAAGAATATGTGACGAGTGAAAGGGGTAAACTAAACTCAGGCTCCACTTATAATAATTCACACTGGGGAGGAATTGTATAAATGTGACAAAGCCTTAAGTTCCCATTTCAACTCTTATTATTCATACTAGAGAGAAATAAAGGGACTACACCCTCACTCAGCTCCCTGCTTTAGCAGCCATGACAGGCTACAGAAAAGACATGCAGGCCTCTGACACAAAGAAACTCCAGATTCCCTAGCCTCCTGGAGGCTTAGGGCCAAAATTGAACACAAAGCAACTCCAGAACCCTTGTCCCCCAGCCTCCTAGATACTTGGTTCCTGGGAACTGTTTGGCCACAAAAGAAACTCTAGGGGAGACCAAAACTTCCCCTGGAGACTCCAGGATACAATTCTGAAAACTACTGGTATCTATGAACAGCAGGCCACTTGCAAGTAACAAGAAAAAGCCATAGTAGAAACCACAGAATGTTCCCTCTCAGCACTGACCAATGAGGATACATTGTACATAGGTATTTCATGCCAAAATATGACTTTGAGAAATTACCCTAATTATTCCCATATGTCAACCACTCAGAAACCAACCCGTACCTATTGATTTAATCCTGTGGTTTTGCCTTTAAAAATCCTGGAGTAGACACTTCTGGTGGCTGCTGGGTCAGCCAATTAAACAATTAGACCAGGTACCTATCATGGTTGGATGAACAATAAACCTTGTTTTTGTAGTTTGCTGGGTCTGTCTCTCCTTGGTGGTCTTTGAGGATCTTCACGACTTGAGCATAACAAAAGGACATACTCAGATTTTCTTATTTGGTAATCACAGGAGGAAATGGATGATTTACATTTCTAATAGGTGATGGCAATGATACTGGACTGCATTTTGATAACCATGATATTATATTAAAACTCACAGGGAGCCTGGTGAAATGGCTTAGTGGATAAAAGCATTTGCTGTGCAAGCCTGATAATCTGAGTGAGTTCAGTCCCTGGAATCCACAGTTGCAGAAGAGAATGGACTCCTGACAGTTTCCTTAGACTTCCACCCAATCACTGCAGCACATGCGTGTCCACGCTCTCTCTCTCTCTCTCTCTCTCTCTCTCTCTCTCTCACACACACACACACACACACCATGCACAAATATAATTATAAAAGGAAAACACCTTATAGGGGATGGGGAGAAGGCTCAATGGATACAACATCTGCTACACAAGCATGAAGACCTGAGTTCTAACCCCCAGAAACCATGTGAAAGCCAGACACAGTAACACAGCATCTATAATCCTAGTACATGTGAAGAAATAGGAGGCAGAAATGAGAGAACCCCAGAAACTTACAGGTCAGCTAGCCTGCTATACATAGCAGAAATACAACAGAGAAACCCAGTCTAAGATGGACTAAGGTGAGGACTGACAACAGTTTGTCCTCTTACCTCCCAAGAGCTGGGATTAAAAGCTAGCTAGAGTCTTAATTTCTACAGTAAGAATGATTCTTGAACCAGCAATTAGGAGGGAGGCAGGCTGGTAGCTCTTTGAGAGTTCAAGGCCACCATGGTTTATATAGCAAGTTCTACATCAGCCAGAGCTCCTTTAAAAAAAAAAAAAAAAAGGAGGTGTAAGGTGCTGGAGAGATTTGCTGTTCTTGAAGCAGCTTACAGCTGTTCCAGGGAATACAATGCCCTCCCTGGGTAATGCTTACATGTGATGTATTTTCATACATACAAAATAAAATTAAATCTTAAAAAATTGTTTTATCCCCCCCCCACATTGATTTCTTTTCTATTTATTTATTTATTTATTTATTTTGAAATAGGATTTTGCCACATAGCCCACACTGATCTTGAACCCATGTATCCTAGGTTGGCCCCAAAGTCTAGGAAATACTCCTGTTTCAACCTCTCAATTGTTAAGGTCACAAAAGGATCCGACTGGAGACTGGAGAGGTGGCTCAGAGGTTAAGAGCACTGGCTGCTCTTCCAGAGGACCTGAGTTCAATTCTAAGCAACCACATGGTGGCTCACAACCATTTGTAATGAGATCTGGTGAACTCTTCTGCCTTCAGGCATACGAGCAAGCAGAACACTGTATATAAATAAATAAATCATCTAAAAAAAAAAAAGAGAGAGAGAGAAAAAAAGAAAGAAGGAAAAGGATCCCACCATACCTGACTTTTGCTTGCTTTAGGGGAATGGGGACATAAGTGGAGACACACCTTTAATCCCAACACTTAGGAGGCAGAGATAGACAGATCTCTGTGAGTTCAAGTCTATAAAGCAAATTCCAGAACAGCCACTAGCTGTTACACAAAGAAACCCTGTCTCAAAAAACACCCCACAACCCAAATGTGTCTTTCATTTCTTAGTGTATTCAGATCAAGACCGCTGATCCCTCAGTGTGCCCAGAACATCATCCTCTCTAAGACATCAGGAGGGTGATGGCAGTCTTACCTGCTGAAAATAGGTTCTGATAGTTCTCCAGCATCACCTCTCTGTAGAGGTCTCTCTGAGTTTGATCCATTATAACCCACTCCTCTTGGGTGAAGTCCACGGCCACATCATCAAAGGTCACTGAGTCCTAGATGATGGGAGATGTCATTCTGTATATGTTTCTCATACTGGTCAATGAATAAAGCACTGTTGGCCAAGAGGAAATAAGATAGGCGGGACTAGGAGACAAGGAGGAAAGAGGAAGTAGTAAGGAGGAGTCAGGATGGAGAGTCTAGAGAGAACAGAACCACCATTTCTCCGCTCTCGGTAAGACCACGTGGAAATACGTAGAAATGGGTTACTAATTAAGACAGAGCTAGCTGATAAGAAACTAGTAACAGGCCAACAGGGTTATATCAAATACAGAGTCTCTGTGTCTTAATTGGGGCTGGTGCGGCAGCAGGACAAGACCGGGCGGCAGGCAGAAAAACCGTACTTCTTACATGCCAGTGTGACTAACAAGTCACCCACACTCATTAAGGATGAAGATATGAACCCCAACTCTTCCCAGGGATTGGTGGTCTAGGTCCCTGCTGACTATACATTTCCCACAGATATATTTCTGGCAGCCTGCCCCAAATAACACACAGAGACACTGTATTTGATATAAAGCTGTAGGCCAGTTACTAGTTTTTTTATTGGCTAACTCTGTCTTAAATATTAACCCATTTCTATTAATCTAAGTATTTCCACGTGGTCTTATCTTACCAGAGAGAGAGCCCAAAGTACTACCCTGTAGGTCCTCCATCTTGAATCTCCTCCCTACTACTTCCTCTCTCTTCCTTGTCTCCTAGTCCTGCCTATCTTGCTTTCCCATTGGCCAACAATGTTTTATTCATTAACCAATATGAGAAACATATTTACAGAATGACATCTCCCATCATATATGGTTTTAGTGACCCTTCTCATAACTAAACAGTCCTTCTCACTATTCCCCTAAAATGTACTCCTGAGCTTTGATGAACAGTCTTGGGTGAGGAGATATAGCTTAGTAGTAGAGTGTTTATCCAGCATATTCAAGGCCCTAGGTTTGATTCCAAGTACAGGAAAAAAAAAAAAAAAACTAAAATAGGGAATTCCAGGCTCCTCCCAGAGATCCGCCTATCTCCTAGGGGCCTCTTTGAGTTCCTGCAGGCTGGATCCTTGACCCCCATCGCAGGGCCTCTGCCAAAGAGGCCTCAGCTGGAGAGTGCCAGGCCCAGACTAGATCTGCCTATCAGCTTAAGGAACATCCTGAGTCCCAGCCTTTGAGATCTTTGACTCCCATTGCCAGTCTTCTGCTGGAGTCTGCTCTTTGACCCCCATCGTCAGGCTCCTGCCTGTGGAGAGACCTCCTAGAGAGCTTGGATCACCCAGAGCTACAGACATTGAACCTCTGACCCACCTAAGCCCACCTGGGAAGTACCATATAGAGAGGGAGAGACACCACCAACAACTACTGGAAGAAGCTATGGGAAGATGGCAATACAAGAAAACACCAAACAACAGAAAGACAAGCATGACACCACCAGAATCTAGGGAATCTATACCGACTAGATAGGAACACAACAAAGCAGATGAAGCAGAAGGGAACGACTTAAAAATTATCATCATAAAAATGATAGAGGCTCTCAAAGAAGATGTGAGAAAATCCCTTAAAGAAATGGAAGAAAAACAAACAAAAAATCGGAAGAAATGACCAAATTTCTTACAGAAAGTACAGAAAGCCAAGAAAAAAAAATTAAACAGGTGAAGGAAATGGTTCAAGACTTGAAAACTGAAATAGAGACAATAAGAAAACACAAACCGAAGGAATGCTGGAAATAGAAAAACTGAGCAAATGATCGGGAATTACAGACACAAGCATAACCAACAGAATTCAAGAGATGGAAGAGAGAATCTCAGGCTCGGAAGATAAACTAGAGGAAATAGATTCATCGACCAAAAAAAAAAAAAAATCTGAAATCCAACAAATCCTTAACACAAAACATCCAGGAAATGTGGGACACTGTAAAAAAGGCCAATCCTAAGAATAATAGGCATAGAGGAAGGTGAGGAAGCCCAGCTCAAAGGTGGCGAAAGCATATTCAACAAAATCAATGAGGAAAACTTTCCCAATCTGAAGAAGGGTATGCCCATGAAAGTACAAGAAGCATATCGAACATCAAATAGACTGGACAAAAGAAAAAAGACCCCTCGACATATAATAAAACACCTAACATACACAATAAAGAAAGAATATTAAGAGCAGCAAAGGAAAAACACAGGTAACAGATAAAGGCAGACCTATCAAAATTACACCTGACTTCTCCCTGGAAATCCTCAAGGCCAGAAGATCCTGGATAGATGTTCTGCAAGTACTAAGAGTCCATGGATACCAGCCCAGGCTACTATACCCAGCAAAACTCTCAATCAATATATATGGAGAAAAACAAGATATTTAATGACAAAGCCAGATTTTCAAAATACATATCTACAAATCCAGCCCTACAGAAAGTTTTGGGAGGAAACTCCAACCCAAGAAACTTAACTACATTCACAAAGTTGTAGGCAACAGATAATCCCACTTCACCAGAAACCAAGGGTAAAGCAGGACAAATATATTCACAATACCACTGCCAAAAGAAAATCTAAAACAAACAAGCATTAATAATCAGTGGTCCTTAATCTCCCTCAACACTAATGGTCTTAATTCACCTATAAAAAGACACAGGCTAACAGAATGGATACGAAGACAGAATCCATCCTTCTGCTGCATAAAAGAAACACATCTAAACTTCAAAGATAGACATTACCTCAGGGTAAAGGGCTTGGAAAAGATCTCCCAATCAAATGGACCCATGAAGCAAGCAGGTGTGGCTATCCTAATATCTGACAAGTTAGACTTCAAAACAAAATTAATCAAAAGAGATGAAGATGGTCATTTTATATTCATCGAAGGAGAAATCCATCAACAACATCTATGCCCCAAATACAAAGGCACCCACATTTGTAAAAGAAACACTACTAAAACTCAAACCTCACATATAACCTCACACACTTATAGTGGGAGACTTCAACACTCCACTCTCACCACTACAAAGGACCACCAATCAGAAACTCAACAAAGAAACAAAAGAACTAACAGAAGTTATGTCTCAACTGGGTTTAACAGACATCTATAGAACATTCCATTCAAACACAAAAGAATATACCTTCTTCTCTGCTCCACATGGAACCTTCTCTAAAATCGACCACATACTAGGTGGCATAAAAAAACCTCAACAGATACAAAAGAATTGGAATAGTCCCCTGTACCTTATCAGATCACCATGCTTTAAAATTGGAATTCAACAACAACACAAATCGCAGAAACCCTACAAACTCATGGAAACTGAACAATGTGCAATTGCACCACACCTGGGTCAAAGAAGAAATAAAGAAAGAAATTAAGGACTTCCTAAAATTCAGCGAGAATGAGGACACAACATACCCGAACTTATGGGACACCTTGAAAGCAGTGTTACAAGGGAAGTTCATTGCACTAAGAGGTCATATAAAGAAAGTGGAGGATAGTCACATAAGAGAATTAACAGAGCAACTGAAAGCCTTAGAACAAAAAGAAGCAAACTCACCCCTGGAGGAGTAGACACCAGGAAATAATCAATTTGAGGGCTGAAATCAATAAAATAGAAACCAGGAAAACAATAAAAAAAAAAAAATCAATGCAAAAAAGAGTTGGTTTTTCGAGAAAATCAACCAGAGAGAAAAACCTTTATCCAAACTAACGAAAAAAGCAGAGAGAGAGAGAACATGCAAATTAACAAAATCAGAAATTAAAAGGGGGACATAACAACGGACACAAAGGAAATACAGACAACTTTCAGGTCATATTTTGAAAACCTGTATTGCACAAAATTTGAAAATTCAAAGGAAATGAACAAATTTCTGGATAACTATCACCAAAATTAAATCAAGAACAGACAAACAACTTAAATAGACCTATAACACCCAATGAAATAAAAGCAGTCATAAAAGCCTTCCAACCAAAAAAAAGCCCAGGGCCAGATGGCTTCAGTGCAGAATTCTACCAGAAATTCAAGGAAGAGCTAATACCAATACTCCTCAAATTGTTCCACACAATAGAAACAGAAGGTTCGTTACCAAACTCTTTCTATGAGGCCATAATCACCTTGGTACCCAAGCCACACAAAAACTCAACAAAGAAAGAAAACTAGAGACCAATATCCCTGATGAACATCGATGCAAAAATACTCAATAAAACACTGGGCAAACCAAATCCAAGAATACATCAGAGAAATCATCCACCATGACCAGGTAGGATTCATCCCTGGATTGGAGGGGGGGTTTAACATATGAAAATCTATCAATGTGATCCACCATATAAATATATTGAAAAAGAAAAACCATATGATAATCTCCCTAGATGCTGAAAAAGCCTTTGACAAAACTCAACACCCTTTCATGATAAAGATAGATCAGGGATAACAGGAACATACCTAAACATAATATAAGCAATATACAGTAAACCAACAGCCAACATCAAACTGAATGGAGAGAAGCTTAAGATGATTCCTCTAAAATCAGGAACAAGACAAGGCTGCCCCCTCTCTCCATATCTCTTCAATATTGTACTTGAAGTTCTAGCTAAAGCTATAAGACAACAAAAGGAGATCAAGGGGATCCAAATTGGGAAGGGAGAAGTCAAGCTTTCACTATTTGAAGATGATATGATAGTTTATATAAGCGACGCAATAAACTCTACCAGGAACTCCTACAGCTGATAAACACCTTCAGCAAACTAGCAGGATACAAGATAAACTAAAAAAAAAAATCAGTAGCCCTACTTTATTCAGACGACACTGGGAAAGAAATCAGAGAAACATCACCCTTTATAATACCCACAAACAACAAAAATATCTTGGGGTAATGCTTACCAAACAAGTCAAAGACCTATATAATAAGAACTTTGTGGCTTTAAAGAAAAAAATTAAAGAAGATACCAGAAAATGGAAAGATCTCCCCATGCTCTTGGATAGGTAGGATAAATATCGTAAAAATGGCAATCTTGCCAAAAGCAATCTACAGATTCAATGCAATCCCCATTAAAATCCCAGCACAATTACTGACCTTGAAAGGATAATAATCAACTTTATATGGAAAAACAAAAGACCCAGGATAGCCAAAACAACCCTGTACAATAAAAGAACTTCAGGAGGCATCACCATCCCTTATTTTAAGCTCTACTACAGAGCTATAGTTCTGAAAACAGTTTGGTATCGGCACAAAAATAGACAAGTAGCCCAGTGAAATCGAAAATCCTGATATTAACCCATACACCTATGAACACCTGATTTTCGACAAAACAGCTAAAAGAATACAATGGGGGGGTGAGGAGGAAAGCATCTTCAACAAATGTTGCTGGCACAATTGGATGATGGTGTGTAGAAGACTGCAGATAGACCCATGTCTGTCACCATGCACAAAACTCAAGTCCAAACGGATCAAAGACCTGAACATAAATTCAGCCACACTGAACCTCTTAGAAGAGAAAGTAGGAGGTACCCTTGAACAAATTAGTATAGGAGACCACTTCCTGAACAGTAGCACAGACACTAAGATCCTCAAACTTAGAAGTTTCTGTAAGGCAAAGGACACAGTGGACAAGACCAAACGGCAGCCCACAGACTGGGAAAAGATTTTTACCAATCCTACATCTGACAAAGGGCTGATCTCCAAAGAACTCAAGAAACTAGTCAACAAAACACCAAATAACCATATTAAAAAATGGAGTACAGAACTGAAGAAAGAATTCTCAATAGAGGAAATCAAAAAGGCTGAAAGACACTTAAGAAAGTGCTCAACAACCTTAGCTATCAGGGAAATGCAAATCAAAACAACTTTGAGATACTATCTTACTCCTGCCAGAATGGCTAAAATTAGAAACGCTAATGACAAGTCATGCTGGAGAGGATGTGGAAAAAGGGGAACACTCCTCCACTGCTGGTAGGAGTGCAAACTCGTACAGCCATTTTGGAGATAAGTATGGCAGTTCCTCAGGAAAATGGGAATTAGTTTACTACAGGACCAGGCAATCACCCTCTTAGGCATATACCCAAATGATCCACATCCATACAACAAAGACATCTGTTCAACTATGTTCATAGCAGCATTATTTGTAATAGCAAGAACCTGGAAGCAACCTAGATGCCCCTCAATTCAAGAATGGATAATGAAGATGTGGAATACTACTCTGCAGAAAGAATAATGGAATCTTGAAATTTGCAGGCAAGTGGATGGAACTTGAAGAAACCATCCTGAATGAGGTAACCCAGTCACAAAAAGAGGAACATGGTATGTACTCACTCATATACGGATTTTAGACCTAGAGCAAAGGATCACCAGCCTGTAATTCACACCACCAGAGGAACGAGGATACAAGGTGTATTCTAAGAGATGCATATAAGGTCCCTCACAAAAGGGGGAAGAGAGAAGTCCCCCAGAGCACATGGGAAGTGGGTGGGCAGTGAATGGAGAGAGAACTAGGAGAAAGAGAAGAGGAGGAGAGGAAAGCACGTGTGACCAGGAAGATTGAGACTGGGTAGGAATAGAAGACGAGAGAGAGAGAGAGAGAGAGAGAGAGAGAGAATGAACATAAAAGAGAAAGCCATTATTGGTTTGAAGAGAAAACTGAACCTAAAGAAAGGTCTAGAGACCTATAAGACTGACTCCAACTAACAATTTGAGCAACCGTGGAAAGTCTACCATAAATGCCCTTCCCTGATATTGACATCAACAACTAACTTATCCACCATCAAGGAGCCCTCATCTAGTACCCGTTGGAAACAGAAGGAAACACCCATAACTAAACACTGAATCGAACTAGAATCCAGATGCAGAGAGTAGAGGACAAGACCAGGCTACAGAAACACACAGAAACAGCTGACCTGAACAAGAAGGAGTTAACAGGCCCCCAGACTGATAGCTGGGAATCCAGCATGGGACTGACTCAGACCCCCTGAGCATTGGTCTCAGCTAGAAGGCCTGAGCAGTCTCAGGGACCTCAGACAGTGGAACCACGATGTATTCCTGGTGCACAAAAGGACCTTGTGGACACATCCCCCATGGATGGACAGTCCCTTAACCTAGAGACAGGAGAGAAGTCCTAGCCCTACTTCAAATGACTTGACAGATTTACATGACCCCACCTGGATAGCATAGCCCTACATGTGGAATTGGGGTGGGGGGAAGGGAGGGGAGGGTGGTCAGGGTGCATGTGAGGGGAAAGAGAAGGTAAGAGGGAGGGTAGGGAAGGAAGGTGGGAGGGAGAGGTCAACGTGTAAAATAAAAAATAAAATAAAATAAAAAAATTAAAAGAAAAGAAAATTATTTCTTTTTTATGTGTAATATGTATCCATGTATATATAGGAATTCAAATGTATGGGTACGTGTGTATTAAAGGCTAAAAGTCAATATTGGGTATCTTCCTCAATGGTTCTCAAACTAACATATTGAGGCAGAGGTTTTGACTTGAAACCAATGCTCACTTACTAAGTTAGCCCAACTAGCAGGCTCACTTAAGAGATCTGCCTCCAAAGGACTGAAAATAAATGCTACCACACCCATCTGGCATATTCATGGGTGTTAAGGATTGAACTCTGGTCCTCACACTTGCACAGCAAGTGCTTTACCCACTGAGTCACCTTTCTGGTTTCAGGGATTTTTTTTTCAAACAGAGAACTTATTTCAGCAGGTGAATCTCTGTGAGTTCGAGGCCAGCCAGTTTACAGAGCTAGTCCTAGGACAGTGAATACTACACAAAAGAAACCCTGTCTCAAAAAGCAAACAAATAAAAAAACAACAAAACAACAAACAAACAAAAAACCCTGAACCAGAGATAGGGGGAGGGCTTATTTCTTGGGGCTGGAAGAGAAGGCTCAGTGGTTAAGAGTACTTGTTGCTCTTGCAGAAGACCTGGATTCTGTTCCTATCCCAGCATCAAGATGGTGTCTCAAAACCATCTATAACTCTAGTTTCAGGGGTTCTGATGCCCTCTTCTGACCTCTATAGGTACCAGACATGCACATGATTTACAAATATACATGCAGGCAAATATACACATAATTTAAAACAAGCAAACAAAAGAGAACTTATTTCATTGAGAGGGGGCAGGGTACACCTAGACAACATACATTTGGAGGTCAGAGGACAATCTGCAGGATTTCGTTCTTCTATCAGGTGGGTTCATGGGAACTGAAATCTTCAGGTTTGGCAGCAAATGTCTTCATTTGCTGAGTCATCTCACCAGCCCCAATATTTTCTAAAAACAGAGTCTATGTATTCTCAAACTGGTCTCTAGCTTGTGTAGCTGAAGATGACCTTGAACTCCTGAAACTCCTGTCTCTACCTAAGAGCATGATTTTCAATTTCTTTTTTTCTTAATTTTACTTTTGTATATGTGTGTACATGGAGGCTGGAAATGTGCATCAGAACTCTTGGAGCTGGAGCTATAGGCAGCTATAAGCAAGTGTTACACCACTGAGCCACTCACCCACCCCCTACTGACACACAAAAGATATGCTCTTCCACCTTAAAATTCTGTCAGAATACTTGACAAAATTATGAACATACCTGTGTCACCATAAGTATCAACATTAATCAGTAGTTACTGAAATCCTGAGTGGAATTTCAGATAGCATCTTATCAATAAGTGTGGTATACCCCCTTGGGGAAATTCAACTGTGCTTTCAGTCTGGATTTTTGGCTCTGTGAAGGTAGAGTCACAGCTACCTAGATGGAAACATTTTTACCTGGTGCAGGCACACTTGGCATTTTGTGACACAGTCTCTGCATACCTCAAAAAAATCTCTCAGGCAGTGGGGCATCATGATCTCTGCCTTTTTCTTTTCCTCAAGGTAGACTGTGTCAATAGAAAGAAGACCACCTGAAAGAAAGAGAAAGTATAAGAAAATTACCAAAGGTTCCTAACTTTCTTGTCCATGTTCTTCAGTTCATCTATCCTAGTGTCAAATACACGGAATCCTATATACTTGAGAAAAATGAGATATGTACACTATTTTAAAAATGCGTCCAGAGCTGGAGAGATGATTCATTGGTTAAGAGCACTTGTTGTTCTTGCAGAGAACCCATGTTCAATTCTCAGCACCCACAAGATGTCTACCGCCATGCACAAAACTTTCCAAATGGATCAAAGACCTCAGCATAAATCCAGCCACACTGAACCTCTTAGAAGAGAAAGTGGGAGGTAGGTACCCTTGAATAAATTGGTACAGGAGACCACTTCCTGAACATCTATTTGTTTTCTTGAGACAGTGTCTTACATAGCCTACAGTGGCTTTGAACTCTTTATCCTTTTGCCTCAACTACCACGTGCTGAGATTATAAGCAGGCCCCACCATGCCTGAATGGATATACACATTAGTGATAGATATTAGAGCAGCTCTATTTCATCTGGAGTCAGGAAAAGAATTTGTCACCTATGTTGCCCACCAGGAAAACCATAATGGTAAAGAAATATCAGCCTAGAGAAATGATGTCTTCACTTGCCATGGTGATTAGGTAGTACACTGTTCTGTTTATGCAGAGAATGATCTAGAAGGCCCTATTTTTCTTTGGAATGAGTTTATTAAGTATACAACAAACAAAAGTAAACATATAATTAATATATAGCAGACAGAGGAAAACATCAGATATACAGCAAAACATCAGCATGCTCAAAACTTGCAGCAGGTATCACCTGGGGAAACCACCTTGAAGCAGCCAGCTGGAGCAAAGTGTCCCCTCTGGGTGATTTTCAAACAAATAAAGAAAATACCACAAATTCAAGAAGGCTGCTTCCAGTGGCACCCCACCTCTCTCTACACACTTCCCAGCAAAGGAGTGAATCTGAGTTGAGCACTGCTTAGCCGGTGACTAGAGCCAGCTCAGGTCTAGAGTAGCTCACTAATTATCTAGTGGGCTATGAACTACCTTATGACTGACATCTGACTCCACTGATCTCCACCTTCTAATTTCTCCATCCTCCTAATCCCTTTCTCTTACCCTGTTCTCAGGATCTCCTTCTCTTGAAGGCTCAAAAAATCTGACTTGTTTCTAGATTATAGGACATGATACTCAGAGACTTTACAAATGTAATGAAATGTAATGAAAACCTAAAGTGGAGGCTTAAAAAAAAATTGAATATGTGTGTGTTGAGAAAATGGTCACATGTGGTAAGCTATGTAAAATTAAGTTTATATTTTGTTATATTGTGTGAAATCTTTCCACTTACGATGTTTTATGCACATTATTTTTACCATATTCTATGTATGTATACTTTTCTTGTATTCAAGACATTTGTATATTGATACAGTTTGGGATATTTATCATGCTGCCCTTTATAGTTCTACCTCTTGTCTTGACATTTCTACTCTACCTCTATTTTAGGGATTTATATGTATGTATATGTATATAGTTATATTGTTTACGTATTTGTTCCTGCTTTACTCAGGGAAGTTTTAATCAGTTTTTTAGCTAAGTTCCTAAGTATTACAGATTATCTTCACTCATGTTTCCTGTACCTATGAGATTAGTCAGATATAGATGCTTAATCTTCAATCACTTCATAGACATGCAGAACATGGCATTTAAATGTTTTAATATTAGCACTCCATTGACATGAGACACTGTTGCTCCTGACAGCACTGTGCACTTTCCCGAAAATATGTTGGACACTGTTGTTGCTCCTGCTGGAGTTCATTCTCACCTCAGCTAATGGCCTGTTGGGCAAAGAATTGCCCCCACCTTGACCACTGATTTGGACATGCAGTCCTATGTGCTTGCAGGAGACAAACATAGAAGACTGCTTGACCTTGCCAAGTCAGGGTAAGACAGCCATTCTACCTCCCTGCTGTTTTTGTGGTCTGTCAAGTTCTCTTGGCCTTAGCCAAAACTGGGTGTACCAACGTTGCTGTGAGATCTAGGGTGACTGTCCAGGTGGCTTACTGTTTCTGTCCTTGCTGCACCTTTTGGAAGTTGTCCATCCGCACTTCCTGTCTACTCTAGTATTGTTCTTTTCCTTCTCAGGTCTTGATGAGGTTGAAGATTAAACTATCACAACTATTATTCTCACTTCCTCGTTAGATATATTAGGTACTAGACTTACGTTTTCCAGCTTAGGACAACTCTATTGTAAACTCCATTATACCTTTACCCTAGGACTAGATATGTAGGTCATTTTGTTCTCGATTTTCCTTTTCTTAGAGCACACTTGTTATTCACTGTTTTGTATATAGTTTTGTATTAAGCCTAAATCTTTTCTTTAGACTAAAAGGGGAATTGTAGTGAGATAGTCCTTCTGTGGCACTGACCACGCCCATTGGGGGGTGGAGCCATGGGCGGAAGTGACCTGTGGAAGGAGGTCGGAGAGAAAGCGGGAAAAGCTCTCTTGCTGGCGTGACTCGGACAGGAGAGGATTGGGTTGAATTTCCTGGTGTTCATCTGTCTAGGTTGTAAGTTATTTCTCCCTGAATAAACATCTATTTGGCCTATTTGTTTATCCTGATCCTTATTTAACTGCGATAGTCACATGCTTCCCCTAGTACTCGTAGCCAATGACAACTTTCAGGGAGTCAGTTCTCTCCTTACACCATGGGATCCAGGAACTGAACTCAGACTATCATGTCTATGCAGCAAGTATATTTACCTAACAAGCCATCTCACCAGCCCAGTTACTTTTTTAATATTTGTGTGTATATGTACATATGTGAGGGTGTACATGCTCATTTGTGTGGAAATTCCAGAACACAAAGACAAATCCCACAGAGCTGGAATCAGTTTGGTTCCAGAACACTCTGCTTACTTGTGTGCTAGGATCTGACCTGACCTTCAAGGCTACACATCTAACTTTCTGAACACTGAACTCTCTCTCTAGCACCCTACAGTGAATTATCAAAGGGAACATATCTTATTGGGCTTATCAGGCAGAGGTGTGTATATGTGTGTGGTCAATGTTAGGTATCTTCCTCAGAAGCATCTCCACTTTTTTTTTATTTTTTATTTTTTATTTTGAGACAGGGCCTCATTGTATTACCCTAGTTTGTGCTTAGAATTCTCTATTGACCAGGCTGGCCTCAAACTCAGAGAACCACCTGCCTTTGCCTCCTGAGTGATGGGAGATGCCATTCTGTAAATATGTTTCTCTTATTGGTTAATGAATAAAGAACTGTTGGCAAATAGGAAGGCAAGATAGGCAGGACTAGGAGACAAGGAGGATTCTGGGAGAGGTAGTAGAAGAGAGTCAAGACCTGAGAGAAGAGGTCTGGACCCTCTCTCTGGTAAGATAAGACCATGTGGAAACACTTAGATTAATAGAAATGGGTTAATATTTAAGACAGAGCTAGACAATAAGAAACACTAGTAACTGGCCAACAACTGGCCAACTGGCTTATGTCTAATACAGCGTCTCTGTGTGTTTATTTTGGGGCTAAGACGGCTGTGGGACCAGGCTGGAGGGAAATTGCTTGTAACACCCAAGTGCACCACCATGTCCAATGTCCACTTTTTTTCCCTGAGACAGGGTTTCTTTGTACAGCCCTGGCTGTTCTGTACATCAGGCTGGCTTTGAACTCAGATATCCACCTGCCTCTGCCTCCAGAGTAAATGGGATTAAAGGTGTGTGCCACTACCATCTAGCTGTTCGATTATTTTTTTTAAACAGGGTCTCATATAACCTGGAGCTGACTAGCAAGCACCAGAGATTTCCCCCCCCCCCCCCACCTTTCTAGTGCTGGAATTCCATGCATGTGCTACAATGCCCAGGATTTGTATGCAGGTGCTGGGAATCTGAATTCAGGCCTTCATACTTACACAACACACACTGTTCTCTGACCTCCACATCTACTCAATTGCACACAAATAAATAAATGTAAAAATAAATAATGTAAAAATAAATAATGTTAAAAACTTTTTAAATACAAACATAAATATTATTTTCATATTATTGTCTCCACTGATCTCCTGGGGACAGAGCACAGTGGCAGAGTGCACATAGAGTTCTTTCCTAGAATGTGGTACCCTAGGTTTAATCCTCAGTAACACACACACACACACACACACACACACACACACAGAATCAATTGCTGCACTATAACAGCTAGCTCATTAGGAAGTCTTAGGCCAACAGAGAAGGCAATGGGAATGTCCCCTGTCCTCAGACCCCTGTCCTCTTCAAAGACTCCCCTATAGGGAGGAGGTTTGGGCAGTTACCTGTAGAGTAACCCCACCTCCAGATGTATGTAGTAGTCCCACAGTAATGGTTACACTAGGTGTTTTCTCAGGGAATGAGAACCACAATTTGGGTAGTGAGAAGAACAACAAATCTACCTAAAGAGATTGTATCTGCTTACAAATATAAAACACTGGCTTATCCGGAGAATTACTATAAGCAATGTGTGTGGTGAACTTTCCAGTGTCAACCACTGATTCTAATTCTCATCTGACAAATTAAGTCACTCTCATGCTTTCTTCTATTTGTCCTTTAATTACACAACTGGAACGATTTATCTACCTGTCAATTACATGTTGAAAAATAGATTCTACCTCAGTTTCTTCCATAACCCAAGAAAATAAGTAATGTTAAATCTGGAAGAGATGTTCTAAGAACCCCACTCTCTTATAGAGCTGTAATCAGCTGTTCACTGAGCACTTACCTTTCACATCTCCACTCCCTTCCCTTTCAACATGGCTCACTCCTATAGCTTTTCTTTTTGGTTGCAGCTTACAAACACTCTTTCAGGGCTAGGAGATGGCTTAGTAGGCAGAGTACTTGCCACACAGGCATAAGAAAATGAGTTAAGACCCTCAACACCCATGGAAATGCCAGGTAGGTGTGGGTCTGAGTGCTGGGATTGAAGGCACTCGTCACTACGCCTGACTATACTCTGAGACAGGGCATCACTGTTCCTCAAGCTGACCCTGAACTTGGGTCTGGGGCCCAGGAATATTAGCTATTGTGACAATGGCAGCTCCCCCTACTCTTCTTTTTCCTTCTTCCTTTTTATTTTTATTTTTTGGTTTTTCAAGACAGGGTTTCTCTGTGTAACAGCCCTGGCTGTTCTGGCACTCTCTCTGTAGACCAGGCTGGCCTCAAATTCACAGAGATCCACCTGCCTCTGCCTCCTGGATGCTGGGATTAAAGGCGTGCACCACCACTGGTGCTGGAGAGCTAACCCTTTACCTTCATTTGGTAAAGCTCCTGCCTTACAAGTAGGAGTACTAAAGTTCAATCTTCAGACTCTAGGTAAGAAGAGCTGGGCAAGGAACTGGTCACATGACTGAGAGGTTATGAGTGCATACTGCTCTAGAGAAAGACCTAAGTCTGTTCTTCAGTACCCACACTGAGTGGCTCACAATCACCTAAAACTCCAGCTTCAGGGGAATGAGACAACTCTGGCTTCCACAGACATCTGGAATCACATGTACATACCCACACAGGCATATACATATACATATGAATAAAAATATAAAAAGTAAACATTTGTTTAAAAGAAAAGTTGGATATGGTGGCAGTGCACTGTTATAATATCAGGGCTGGCAAGGTGTAGACAGGCAGATCCCCTGGGGCTCTCTGGATAGTCACTCCTAACCTATATGGTGAATTCCAGGCCAGTAAGAAACCCTATCCCCAAACAAAGGTGGACAGCACCTAAGAAACTACACCTGAGGTTGTTTTCTGGCCTCTACATGCATATGCACATGCATGTACTGCCACACCCACAAACAAGCACACAAATGTAAAGAGAGGCTAGAAAAACAGATGTCAGGGGTTAAGAGTACTTGCTGCTCTCCCAGAGCAAGCTGTGTTTAGTTCCCAGCACCCACACTAAGCAGCTGACAACCATCTGTGATTCCAGCTTCAGGATATCTGAAGCATCTTCTAGTCTCCATGATCCCTGCATGCACATATGTATATGTGTGTGGACACAGACACAGACACAGACACACACACACACACACACACGGAGATATATGCGTAAATATAATCTAAAATAAATAAAAATAATATATAAAGTAAGATAGACCTAATGGTACAGGCCTTTAGTCCCAGCTACAGAATAATTACAAAACATATTGTTGGTTGTTTTCACTCTGTGGCTCTTTTTTGTGGGGGAGGGGGGTACCACCCAGCTCCCAAGTAAATCACACATTGAGGCTTATTCTTAGTTTTGAGTGCCTGGCCTTATCTTGGCTTGTTTATAGCCAGTTTTTCTTATCCTAAATTAATCCATCTACCTTTTCCCTCTGGGCTTTTATTTTTCTTACTTCTGTATACCTTACTTTCCTTCTTCCTCCATGGCTGGCTGGGTACCTGGTCCCTGGTGCCCTCCTCTCTTTGTTCTCTTGCTGTTCCTCACTTCCTCATCTCTCCTATTTATACTCTTCGGCCTGCCGGCCCTGCCTGTCCTTGCTCCGGCCTCACTATTAGCCACTCAGCTCTTTATTAGAACCATGAGGTGTTTTAGACAGGCAAAAAAATCACAGCTTCTACAGTTAAACAAATACAGCATAAACAAAACCTACACATCTTAAAACAATATTCTACCACAAAGACAGACTACCTTGGCTATAGAGCAGGTCCAAGTTCAGGGCAACTTGAGAAATCCTGTCTCAAAACTAAGAAATAAAAGCACTGGTGGTACATAGCTCGTTGGTAGAACACTTGCCTGTCATGTGCAAAACCTCAGGTTCAATTAATTCTCAGCACCCTAAAAAGAAAAAGGTCAATTCTTAGGTGTATATTATGCATAAAATTGTAAAAGAATAAATAGGGCCATGTGTAGTGGTGCAAGCCTTTAATAATAGCACTTGGGAGGCAGAGGCTGACAGAGCTCTTTGAATTCAAGACCAGCCTCATCCACATGGCAAGTTCCAGGCTAGCCAAGACTATATAGTGAGACCCTGTCTCAAAAGACTAAAAAATCCAAAACAAACAATAAAGAGTACCAATAAGATAGCTCAGCAGGTAAAGCCAGGCCTGATACTCCATGGGAGGAGAGAATCAAGTTGTCCTTTGACCTTCACAAACGTCTTGGCATCTGCACACACACAGAAACACACACAATAAAAAAATACAGTAACTAGCTGGGTGGTGGTGGCACTTGAGAGGCAAATGCAAGTGGATCTCCAGGTTTGAGGCCAGGCTTGTCTACAGAGCAAGTTCCAGGACAGCCAGGGCTACACAGAGAAACTCTGTCTCGAAAAAACAAACACCCCCCCCCAAAAAGAAAAGAAACAAAAGAAAACTATACCTTAAATCACTGAGACCTGAAGGATGGCTAGTCAGAAATTAGTATTCATGTATGAAACAGGTATGATTCTTAAAGTTTACTAAAAAGTATAGTGTATCATTATTTTTTAAATTCATTAATTTTTATAAATTTGTGTGTGTGTGTGTGTGTGTGAGAGAGAGAGAGAGAGAGAGAGAGAGAGAGAGAGAGAGAGAGAGAGAAAAGAGAGGGAGACAGAGAGAGAGGGGGTGGAGAGACCACATGTATGCTGATACTTTCAGGGACCAGAAAAGAGCCTCGGATCTTGAGGAGAGATTCAGGAGGTTGTGAGCCTTCATGAGGGTGCTGGAAACTGCTTTTGGAAGAGCAGCAGGCTCTCTTACACAACAGACATCTCTCCAGCATCCTCATCACTTATTTTTATTGTTTATATTTATTAGTATTTTGCATATATTGGGTTCAATTAAAATGTAGAAAAAAATAACAAAAGCGTTCATTAGCTTAAGAACAGAAAGGTCCTTTTGAACCACTTAAGTACATATATATGTACATATAATCTATATAAATAAAAATACATACATGCAACACACACATATAGATTTTTCTCCCAACTTGGGGTGAAATCCAGGGCTCAGCAGACAGCCACATCCTCACTCCTGAGTCTAATCCCTCCCAGCGCTCACCCGTGTACGTGGCAGCTGCCAGGTCCATGAAGCGGGAGGACTCTCAGGGACGCCCTTTAACGTGTATCCAACGGTGCAAATATATTTTCCTTGTGGTTTTAAAAAAGAAGAAAGAAAATTATAAAGGGTTGGAAGCTGTAAAGTAGACAAAACAATAGCTGTCATGCGGCAGACTCAACAATACGACAGTTTTACGACGCTCCCCGACCTCACAGGGCGAGCAGACTGCCGCAGAGCAGGCCTGGCGAGCTGCGAAGCTGATGGCAGGGACGACCTGCGCCGTCCAGCGATCCCTCCACAACCGGGCGTCGCTGTCAAGTGGAATTCCCCACTACCCGTGCCGATCTCAGGGTTCGGAACCATAAAGACTCCGAGTCGCTCGCGGAGATTGACTGGAAAAAAAAAAAAAATTCGACCACCGTGACCATACTTCCTGTTTTGCTTCCAGCCAGGGGTGGTGGAAATCTAAACTCCCGGCTTCATATGTGCCTACCCTGTAAGACTGAGGGTTTGTAGTTAAATCTCCCTAGGGTAGGGAAAGATGGTCTCAGCTAGGGAAGGGAAGGTCGAAGGCGGCCTCAAGGAAATAGCCTTTAGAACATGCCTGTGGGCAGGGATTCACGTGGGACCGAGCTCAGGGATAGATGTGGCAGGTGAAAGGACCAGACTGGAGTGGTGGTGGTGGGAGTTACCATGCTGAAAAATGCTTATCAAAGGTTTATATTTGTTGTTGAGATGCTGCACAGGTTGTTCTCGAACTTGTCCTGTATCCGAATATGACCTTGAATGCCTAATACTCTTGCCTCCACCTTGCAAGTGTTGGGATTTTAGGAATGCCAGTAACTGCATGCAGTTTGACAGATACAAAACTGCCTAAATCCCTAAATCACAGTTCTGTTGATAAATCTGCCAGTCCATGAGATAATGCATTTCTTCCATACACTCAGTCCAACATGTAGAGCGTAATTCCCTCTTTCTTGGATATCCTAATAAAATATAGTTTGAATTTCTTTACATTTTCCTTTGTGTGTGGTAGATGGGCAAGTGCTATAGCACTGAGCAATGTCCCCAGCTTTTTATTGAAAGACCCCCCCAGAGACCCCAAGAGTTTGGAGCCTGTCAGGGGGAAGGCCCTTGCCCCCAAGAGATGAGACCAGACCACTGGATGCAAGTGCAAGAGGTTGTTTATTGTTTACACAGGTACCTATGGACGCTTCAGTCTTTTGGGGGGACTGAGCGTGCTGAGGTTAAAACTCAGGCAGTTTATATAGGGTTGGGGTGGCAAGAAGCAGGCTTACAGAAGCAGAAGCATGGTTACAGGGATTTCATTGTGTCATCTAAATGTAGCAGTTGTAGTTAACCAAGGACAGTTGGTTATTCGGGTTGGGCACAAAGAATACAAAGAATTCAGTTATGACTATCTCAGCATACTGGACACTGTCCTGCTGACCTTGCTTTTGTCCAAGCTGCAGACCACAGATATCTGGTTGGCGTTGGATGAGAGCAGCACCTGGTTCCCTCCTGTACTTTTCTCATAACTTGACCTTGGCAAATTAGCAAGAGCAATTTAAACAGGCAATAAGCATAGTGGGGGTCTTTCATTATATTTTCAATTACATATATATTTTTATACTTTATTGTATACTTTTGTTTGGGGGGTTATGAGACAGGTTGTTACAGAATAGTCTAGGCTGGCCTTAAATTCCAGATCTTCCTGATTACAGGCCTGGCTAATTTTGAGCTATACATCCAGCTCTCAATGATATAATTTTGAGACAATAAAAAATGTTTACACTTGACTGGATGTGGTGACTCAGGCCTTTCATGCTAGCACCTGACAGGCAGAGGCAGGTGGGTCTCTGTGGATTCAAGGCTGGGCAAGGCAACACAATGAGATCCTGTCTTAAAAAAGGGACACATATGTGGAGGCCAGATGGCAACCTGTGGGAATCCGCTCTCTCATGTCAACATGTGGGCTGAGGTTGTCACTCAGTGGCAAGTACCTTGGCCTACTGAGCCATCTCACTGGATATTTAGACAATTTTTTTGTTTTCATATATCAATGTTTTTATTTTTAGGCTCTTACCAAATGATTCAGAGTGTCTTGTAGCTTGTAAAATGGCACTGGCGCCTGACATTCTTTATTTACTAATTAAAGATTACAAAGTTTCTTATTTAATATGTTAAGGTTCTTAGCAATTGACCTTTGTATAATTTTGTGTTTTACATTCTCTCTCTCATTTTCTGCAAAAACATCAAGTGCTCTTAACTGCTGAGCCATCTCTCCAGCTTCATAAATTACCCTTTAATACTGATTTACTAACACTTCATGGCTCAGCATTTAAGAGCACTGGTTTCTCTCAAAGAGGACCTAGGTTGCATTCCCTGCATCCACATCGTGGCTGGAACTGTCTGGAACTCTGGTTCGGGGAATGGAGTACCCATTTCAGACCTCCACAGGACCAAGCATTCATGTGGCACACACACACACATCAAAGGATAAAAATCATGTATTAAAACAGTTGCTCATGATACTTGTGCATCAGTGTTTATTGCAGCACTATGCATTTCTCAAGCCAGGCAGTGGTGGTGCACGCCTTTAATGCCAGCACTCAGGAGGCAGAGGCAAGCGGATCTCTGAGAGAGTTTGAGGCCATTCAAGTCTACAAAGTAGTTCCAGGACAGTCAAGGCTACACAAAGAAACCCTGTCTCGAAAATAAAAACTCAACAAAGCAAAACAAGCAATTTCTCCTTATACCTTTTCTCTGATCCACTATTTTAAGTTCTTAGTAAGTTATTTTGAAGTTAGTTTCCAAGTATTTTGTCTGTTTTTTTTTTTTGTTTTACTTTTGACTTATCATCTAATTTCATCTTCAATTATTTTAAATTATCTATAGCTTTTGTTCTCTGTTTAGAGTGTATGTGCCTGTGCATATCCTTACACATGCATGCCTGCATGCCACAGTTCATATGTGGAGATCAGATAACAACTTCTGGGAATCACTATGAGTTCTGGAAAGCACCTCTACCCATCTCACCTTGAGCCACTTCACCAGCCCAAGTTCTTATTATTATGAAAGAGATTTACTTTGAATGGATATGGATGGGGGCATTCTCTCATTGTCTCTTTGCATGTACTCTGAGGCACTGTTAAAAAATGTGTACTGGAGCTGGGTATGGTGGCACAGCTCCAAGCTGGGTGTCCCAGTACTCAGGAGACAGAGTCAAGCAGGTCTCTGAGTTTGAGGCCAGACTGGTTTACAGAGTGAGTTCCAGGACAGCCAGGGATATATAACGAGACCCTGTCTCAAGAAAACAAACAAATGAACAAAAAAGTGTGTGCTCGTTTCAGATAGTTCTCAGTGAAAAATGTTATGCATCTTTTTATCTTTCACCGTTTGTCTTTTTATTTAATTTGTTCAATGCAAATCCATTCTATGAGAAGTTACTATGAATACGAACATAAACACAAATAGTATACGATCCAAGCAGATGTACGTGTTCAGGTGAGAATCTGAGGGGCATGCTCAATTCACACACTAGGTATTTCAGAGGTTTATTCCTCTGTAGGTTTTTGGGCAGTACTGAAGACCAAAGCCAAGGCCTTGTGTATGTTAGAGATCTTCTACCACTTCTGCTACTAAACAAGCCTTAGTTTTTTTTAAAAAAAATATTTATTTTTATCTTGTGTGTATTGTTTTTGCCTATATATATGTCTGTGTGAGAGTGTCAGATCTTAAAGTCAGACAGTTATGAGCTGCCATGTGGGTGCTGGGAATTGAACCTGGGTCCTCTGGAAGTGCAGTTAGTGCTCTTAACCACTAAGCCATTTCTCCAGTATCAAAATAGCAAAAACAAAAAAATAAAACAACAACAAAACTGAACCGCAAATATTTACTGCAGAATGAAGCCCACTTCTTATATTCTGGGCTAAGTTCTATCTGAAAATATCCCTAACAAAAAGGGTTCCCATTGAGACTACTGACCCACAGGGTTCAACACAGCCAAATCCCAATAGGCTCATTTATTTATCTGCCTTTAGAATTTCAAAATGTGTAATTTTACCTTCAAAATGGACCATAGTTTTTAGTTGTGAAACTATGACATATTTTTAATATGTCAGAAAATTTTTAAAAATGCATTTTGGTAAATGGAAAGATGGCTCAGTGGTTAAGAGCACTGGCTGCTCTTCCAGAGGACCTGGATTCGATTCCCAGCACTCACAAGGCAGCTTATAAACTGTCTGTAACTCCAGTTCCAGGGAATCTAACACCTTCACACCAATACACATAAAATAAAAATTAAATAAATTTTAAAAATACTTTTTGATGTTAGCTGAGGTCAATGAACTCTTTGGAATCATAGAAAGGAAGGCTGGGAGTTTCATTGAATGAAACAGGTGATGCAGTGCCTGCTATTCACTTTTGCATGTGTATGGTGTTTGTGTGTTTGAATGTGCATGTGGAGGCCTGAGCTGACATGAAGAGTCTTTTTCAACTGCTATCCACCCTATTTATTGAGGCAGGGTCTCTCAACTGGTCTTGTTAGACAGATTGCTTTGGAGATTCTGCCTTCTGGATGCTAAAATTACATGTGGGCAGCCACACCCACATATCACATACGTGGGTTCTGGGAAATCAAACTCTGGTCCTCACATATGTGAGGAAATACTTTATCCACTGAACTATCTCCTAGCCCTACTATCCACTTTATAAGCTATGGTTTCTTCAGGCTTAGATTTGAGGGTAAATTTCAATCTATCATTGCCCTAATACATCTCAAATGCTACATAAAAGGTTGACTACAGGAGCCAAAGAGATGAATCAGTGGTTAATTAATTGCACTGACTACTTTTTCAAAGTCCCACCCACCTATCCACCAAGTTCAAGTCCCAGAACTCACATGGTGGCTTATAAACATCTATATCTCCAGTTCCAGGGTATCCAATTTAATACCTTCTTCTGGTCTCCATGGACACCAGTAATGCATATGGTACAGTTATACATGTAAGCAAAACACCCATATACATAAATAAATTTAAAAATGTAAAGATCAAATGTAATGTTAAATCTGACCCTGCAGAAGAAAGGAGCTCAGTTTCTGAGACAACAGTCATAGCTGAACAATGTGAAACTTTATACATTACGTTAGCACTGTGGACACAACATTGAGGTTTTATAGAAACTCCTTAAATTCCCCTTTAATGTACATGTAATTATGGCTGTTTTCTATTTTTTGTTTCATTTGGTGTGTGTGTGTGCGTGCATGCATGCATGTGATACTATGATTCAGATGACAACTTTAGGTAATTGGTTTGCTCTTTCCACTTTGTAAGTCCCAAACATCAAACTCAGGTGGCAGACTTGGTGGCAAGCACCTTTCCCTGCTGATCATCTCACGTGCCCTGGGAGCTTTTCCTATTGCTTGTTTTATGGCCTTGTATTGCATTTTGGTTCCCTAAAGTCTCTTACTTTCAAGATAGTTTTGTTTTTAAGGTAGGGTGTCACTATGCAGCCCTGGAACATAACTATGTGGACCAGGCTGGCCTCAAACTCACCTGCTTCTGTATCCTCAGAGCAGGAAGTAAAGGTGTGTGACACCACACTTGATTAGGTAGTTTTTATTATCCATTTAAGGCAAATTTTGAAATTGAAACTCTAGCAGACTCAAAGGTGGCACTTAGGGCCTCTCAAATCTTTCCCATATCTTTCCTCCAAATCTCTCCAAGTTGGATGGATTCTCATGGTTTTCAGTGTCAACAAAATGTAGAATTAAAAGATTTGACATAGCTGTTTATTCTGTCACAATCAACTCTATTGGATTTAGGAGGTAGGATATCAAGAAGTTTCTTGGCTTGAGTTGTATTTCAATACAACTCAAGAAGGGAGAGAGCATGAGTAGGCTGTTACTGCAGGGCTCTCTTGCTTGGCTCAGTGGCTTTGTTGGATTCTGGGCAGCAGAAATATTCTGAGTAGTTATTTAAGGGCATCACCAGATACACTTGAATAAATCTGTATAGCAATCCTACTCAGGCCACAAAGGCTCTACCCATCTCCACAGACACACAGTATGTTTTTACTGGATAGAGATCCATGTAGAATCCATGTAGGTGGCCACAAGACCTCTTGACCCCATTCTTTTAATTGCTAGTTGTTCTATAGGATTACAGCCTTTTGTATTTTTCCCTTTTACCCCTTCCTTCCTTTTCTCTCTTTCCTTTCTTTGTTCTTTTGAGACAGGATTTCTCTATGCCCTTGGCTATCCTGGAACTTGCGTTGTAGACGAGGCTGACCTTGAACTCACAGAGATCCACCTGTCTTTGCCTTCTGAGTGCTGGGATTAAAAGTGTGTGCCACCATTGCCAGGCCATCCCTTTCTTTCCTTTGATAGGGTCTCCTGTCTCCCAGGTTGGTACTGAACTCTCTATAGCCAAAAATGGCTCTGAACCTCTGCCTTTTCTCTTATCACATCCTGAGTGCATTGTACTGAGAAAAGGCACAGTATGGCATCCCATTCAGACCTACAACAGAGGCAAAAACAGAGTGACAGAGGCTGGAATGTAAGCAAGCAAAAAAAGTATTAGCCACAATATTTATTGAAATTCCTGCCAAGGAAAAGTATGGTTTGGAAAAAAATTAAGATCAATAATTTTTAATAATTCTAATAAGTAAGAATATAGGTGATGTCTCTATTTCTCTTCAGCCTTCATCTAGATTGATTTAGGCCTGGAACATACAGGTTTGGTGAGTTCTCAGAAAAGAATAAGGTTTGACCTCTGAATTGGTTTTCTTTTTGAAAGACTTTATTATTTATGTGTGTGTATATGCACTTGCGCATAGGTATCCAGAGACCAGTAGACAGAGTGTGATCCCTTGAGGCTTAAGTTACAGGCAGTTGTGAACATTGCTACATGAGTGCTGGGAACTAACTCTGGGCCTCTGAAATAGCAGCAAGTATTATTAACCACATAACCATCTCTCCAGTCCCCTAATTGTTTTGAACATGAAAATCATGGGCCAGTGAGATGGCTCAGTGAATAAAAGATCCTTGTCAAGCCATGCCTGACAATCTGAGTTTTATCTCTGGGACCCACATGGTGGAAGGATCCAACAGACGCCAGCAAGTTGTCTTCTGATGTTCATATGTGCACTGTGACACATATGCTTTCCCACTCCCAACACACATACACACATAGAAAACATCCATAAGTTTAAAATGACTACAAAACATATGCTCCCAATCATTTGCATTGTTTGTAATCTTGAGGAATTACCAGAACCTGGGAGGGATTGTATTATGATTTGTATCTGCAATGTACCCTTTATATACTGAAGAGTTGATCCCCAGGGCTGTAGTGTTCACATTTGTGGGATGTGAGAGATATATGGATCATGAGGGCTCTGGCTTCATTGATGACTCATCCATTTATGAATTCACAGTTTAATGTGTTTTAGGGAAAGGACTTTGCTAGTTTGTTTGCTTATTTATTTATATCACCTTTTACCTAAAAGCTGTCAAAGAGGGACAAGGACATTTTAAAGACCATGAGAACTGTTCTATGAAACTTAGCTGCTGTAAGTTACTATAGGGTAGCATGTTTAATAGCCAACTTATCTACACTAAAAAAATGTTCATAGTCCTGTAGTGAGATAGTCCTTCTGTGGCACTGACCACGCCTATTGGGGGTGGAGCCATGGGCGGAAGTGACCTGTGGAAGGAGGTAGGAGGAAGAGCTGGGAAAAGCTCTCTTGCTGGCGGGACTTGAACAGGAGAGCATCAGGTGGAATTTCCTGGTGTTCATCTGTCTAGGTTGTAAGTTATTTCTCCCTGAATAAACATCTATTCGGCCTATTTGTTTATCCTTATCCTTATTTAACCGCAATATAGTCCAAAAGTCCTCATACCTCATATCACCAGCTTGCTACCCAGAAGCTGTAACAACCAAGATGAAATGGCATTGCTTAGACGAAAGAAAACTTATCACGCTAGGAATATCAGGACAGATATCCAAAGTTCAAAATAAATAGTATCATACATCCAACAGGCCTTACTGCTGCCAGCAATACTACATTTCAGGGTACATGAATAAAATTTCCTTATAGTTGATTTTTCTTGGGTATGAAAAAAATCAACTATAAGGATTAAGTTCATGTGATTTCCTAGCATACCTTACCTTCAAAAAGTTTTATAACTTTTGGAACAAATGGATTAAAACTACTTAGCAGAACTACAACCTTCTGTATGTCTTATGTCAGTGTATTTCTCTTAATTGTGAAGTCTTATATATTCTGTAAGTTCCTAGGAAATAGTGAGGGCTTTAATATTTCTTTCCTTAAATTCATGGTGCATCTTGAATAGGAGTTTTTTCATGTTTTCAAAGGAAACTGTCACAATTGGGGGCTGTTCCACATTAGTTTCTTAATAGTGCAAACTCCAATATGATGAAGTCAAGACATGAGGGATTATGGATTTTTGGCATTCCTTCTTTCTGAAGTCATTTTGTTCACCATGAGTTACTAGTGTTTGGTTAGTATGTAAACTCTGCTGTAGGCTTCCCTACAGTCTCAACAAAAGGTTTCTCTCTACTGTGGATTTTCACATGGTGAATGAGGTTAGAGGATGAAGTAAAGGTTTTCTCACATTCTGTACACTCATAGGGCCTCTCACCAGTGTGAGTTCGGATATGCTCAGTTCGGCTTGAGGAAGTAGTGAAATCTTTCCCACAGTACTTACACTTATAGGGTTTTGTTCCAGTGTGAATACGAACATGTTTAGTAAGGTATGAAAAGTACTGAAAAGATTTTCCACATGCATCACATTCAAATGGCTTTTCTACTGTGTGAGTTTTTAAGTGGTCATGTAGCAAATTATACCTACGGTAGGCTTTTCCACATTCTTTACATTCGTAGGGTTTGTCTCCGGTATGAATGGTCAGATGTTTGCGTAAGTATGAGGAGTTCAGGAAGGCTTTCCCACACTCCTTACATATACATGGCCTCTCTCCACTGTGAGTTCGTAAGTGTCTACGAAGGTATGAGGAAGCATGGAAGACTTTCCCACATTCTCCACATATATGTGGCATCTCTCCACTGTGAGTTTTTCTTATATGGTTATGTAGGTATGAGGAATTGAGGAAGGCTTTCCCACATTCCTTGCATATATAGGGTCTTTCTCCACTGTGAGTTCTCACATGTCTATGTAGATTTGAGTAAGAATGGAAGGCTTTTCCACATTCTCCACATATATAGGGTCTCTCTCCACTGTGAGTTCTTCCTATATGGTTCCGTAGGTATGAGGAAGTGAGGAAGGCTCTTCCACATTCCTTACATATGTAGGGTCTCTCTCCACTGTGAATTCTTACATGCTGACTAAGGCGTGGGGATGAAGCAAAGGCTTTCCCACACTCTTTACATGCAAAAGGTTTCTCTGAAGCATGGGTTGATATATGTGTTATGAGGCCTGACCTCTTAGCAAAGGCTTTTCCACAATCCTTGCATTTATACGGTTTCTCTCCAGTATGAGTTCTAAAATGTTCCACTAGCCTTGAGTAGGTAGTGAAGGCTTTCCCACATTCCTTACATTCATAGGGTTTTTCTCCAGTGTGACTCCGTAAGTGTCTATTAAGATTTGAAGAACGTCCAAAGGCTTTTCCACAAATCTTACATGGATATGTTTTTATGGTGTGCACCTGAACAGAGGCATCATGACTTGAATGAGTAAAATGTCCAGTGTTGCAACTACTGTGAGTTTTCACATGTGTCTTGAAATATGAATGTTCACTGAAGATTTCTCCACATTGTACATAGTAACAGAGTTCTCGTGCACTATGGCTTCTGACCTGTTAATAAAGGGATGACTTATGGTTAGAGAATTTTTCATACTTATTGAAGGACTCCTTAAGTGAAGGTAGAAAAATGATGATTATTGCCATCTTGACTACATGTAAAACTCCTATCCTGAAGTCTAGAATCATCAGTTTTAATTTGTTAAGATGCCTCAGTATTTTACTAGTTTTGCTTTTGAAACAGGGTCTTACTATGTAGCCATGGCTGGCCTGAAGTTCAATATGTAGTGAAATCTGGCTTGAAACTCACAAATATTCACTTGCTTTTGCATTTTGTATGCTGGAATTAAAGGCATGTTCCACCACATCTGACTTCTTGCCTTTTCTTCATTTTCTTTCCTTTTTTTTTTTCTTTTTTTTGAGAAGGTGCCTAGGTGCCTCTCTGTTAAATAGCTCTAGCTATCCTAGAACTTGATATGTAGGCTAGGCTAGCCTCAAACTAAAGAGATCTGCCTGCCTCTGCCTCCCAAGTGCTTGGATTAAGGGCATGTGCCACCACCACCCAGCTCATGTTTTCTTTCTAATTAAAAGATGCAACAGAAGTTGCCATTTGATCTAAGCTCAAAATAATTGTTGGGATATACACAAAATTGCCTTATCTGATCATAAGTGTGGTGCCATGTACTTGTGGGATTTCTTTCTTTTTTTTCTTAAATTATGCTGGGTGAGGTATGCAGATCTCACTGAGTTTGAGGTCTTCCTGGTCTAGAGAGTGAATACCAGGCCATCCAGGGCTATCTGAGATCCTATTTTAAATAAATAAAATAAATAAACTTATATTTATTTTTGAGGGGAGAGTATATATGGCAATGTGCATGAAGAGTAAGAGGTCAAACTGTGAAAGACAATTCTTTCCTCTTATTATGTGGGTACTGTGGATCAAACTCAAATTGTCAGACCTGAAATCAAAGAGTCTTTACCCACTGAGCCATCTTGGCCAGAGGTATCTCTTAAAGAATAGGTTTTATGATAGGGTTGGGACACCCAAAAATTCATTATGTTCAAAATACTTCTCAGATACCCTGCTACTCCCTCCCGGGTACATACCATTTGGCTTTCTATAATGGAATTCACAATTGCCTTTGAAAGAAGGAAATAACAAGTATCTCTGGTCAATCTTACTGTTTGTATTCCACTGAAAGTTTGTCCTCTCAAAAATTCCTGACGCAATGTTGACTCGTTGGTGCCAAGTGGCATTTCCCATTCTGAAGATAAACAGAAAAAAAAAAAAAATAAGAGTTGGAGAAAAATAAATGGTCAGTTACAAAGTTAAAAGACATAGGGGTTTTTTGATTGTTCCTATTGAACCTGGCTAGGAAGAAAGAAAAGTGTGATCATTTTGACCAGGTCAATAAATTGACTACACTAAGGATGTGAGTTTTAAATGTTTTATTTCAAACTGACTCTTTGATAATTAAAACTCATGGCAAAAAAAGAACCACACTATTAGAGTTGCAAAGTAGCAAAGATCTGAGCAAACAATATATTTACAGACAATAAGCATCAAACATAATAGGTCATCTTGCAAAATTACAGGAAAACCTGAGGAGGCAAAAATTGTGAATCTAAGAAGTAGAGGATTTCTTACCTTTTCCCATACTTAAAGCCATCAAGTACATCTTTAAAAGATTTCACGTTTAATTCTAAACATATTCTTCACAAACACTCACCTTGGAGATCTTCTCTGTGCAAATCCTCTTCTTCCAACCAGGAGATCAGACTGGGTTTGATGACCTCGCATCCTTATACATGGCAAAGTGCATTCATGGTGGAAGTTCATGCAAAAAAGTATAAAGTCAGCATACTTCAGGACCTGGTAGTTTTTGTTTTGTTTGTTCTATTTTGTTTTGCTTTGTTTTTGTTTTTGCTATGAAGTCCTGGCTGTTCTGGAACTTGATATGGCTTCAAATTCACAAAAAGCTGCCTGTCTTCTTCCTGAGTACTTTGATTAAAGGGATGTGCCACCATGCCAGGCCAGGAAGCTGTGCTTCAAATGAAAGTAGGGCAATTATCTCAGAGAGATTAAACAAGCAAACACTTCCTCTTCTATGTCCTGACGATTAATTACTTCAGAATTTACACTCTAATTAATAATTACATACACTCTAAGAAAACATTAGTACTTCAGGTCAAATAGAAAGTGAAACAAAGTTAATTTTACTTTCAAACAGCAGGTTACACAGCATCAGATTCATCTGGGTTAAACTCATATAAGTAGAAAGTACTCTGAGTTTTTGACTCAGCATGTCAAAGGAAGAGAATGACTACATTTCTGATGGGAGATATTTCATGAATAAAGCACTGTTGGCCAATAGGAGGGACTAGGAGATGAGGAGGAAAGAGGAAGCAGTAAGGAGGAGTCAACATGGAGAGTTTGGAGAAAGCAGAATGCCGGCCTGCTCTCTGGTAAGAGAAGACCACGTGAAAATACATATATCAGCAGAAATGGGTTAATACTTAAGACAGAGCTAGCCGATAAGAAACTAGTACCGGGCCAATAGCATTGTATCAAATACAGAGTCTCTGTGTGTTAATTGGGGCTGGTGCGGCGGGGCAAGGCAGGCGGCAGGCAGAAAAACCTTACTCCTTACACATTTCTATATTCTTTTCTCTCTCTTTTTTTTGGGGGGGGGCAGTGCTGGGGAATTAAATACAGGCACTTACATAGAACACCCAGCTGCATCCCAGGCTAATACATTTGATTTTTTAAAATGTATTTATTTATTTTGAGACAGGTTTTCACAATGAGCTCTGGTTGTTCCGGAACTCACTCTATAGACCAGGCTGGCCTTAAACTCACAAAGAAACATCTGCCTCTGCCTCCCAAGTGCTAGGATTAGAGCTATGCACCACTATGTCCAGCCAATGATTTATGTTTCTAACAGGGTGACTGGTAGTGATGCCATTCATCTAGTACACCGTTTTGAGAACCACCACAGAAAGTTAAGAGGCATAGTGGCTCCCACTTATTCATGGTTTTGCTGTATGTGGTTAGTGACATACTACCCACCTGTCCTGGAAATAGTAAATATAAATTTCCAGAAAAGATTCATGTAAAAGTACACACCATTGAGTTGCATTATAGAATCTCACACTATTCCTCTGTTCTACCTTGCATACAAATCATCCTTTGCCCATCACAGCCACATTGCATCTGCTATCTGCTCCACAGTCATTTAGCACCTTTCTGAGTAGCTTGCTTGTTGCAATACAGTAAAACTTGCCAGGCATGATGGCAATAACCTTTAATCTCAGCACTTGGGAGACAGATCACTGTAAATTCAAGGCCAGCTTGATATGCACAATGAATTCCAGTTCAGCCATACTGAGATTCTGTCTCAAAACAAAACAAAACAAAAATGCCAAAAAAACAATATAGCAACACTTATGTTCATTTTACTCATAGCCTCAAAACATAGCAGTAGTCATGATGGCAATTCAGATATGCCAAAGAGAACTTGGAAAGTGTGGAGGGGAAACCTTTATGTTGAGGTTGCTAGTGTCTACTCTTAGGAGTTATAGTCTCCTTTTTACCTTTTTTTCCCTGGTTTTTCAAGACAGGGTTTTTCTGTGTAACAGCCCTGGCTATCCTAGAACTAGGTCTAGACCAGAGTAGCCTCAAACTCAGACCAAACTGCCTCCTGAGTGCTAGGATTAAAAGTGTACACCATCATACCCACTTAGGAGTTTTATTTCTTATTTGAATGTTTTGCTTTCATGTACATGTGTACTATGTGCACACAGTGCCCCAGAGACCAGAAGAGGCATCTGGTCCTTGGAAATGAACTTTAGGTAAGGTTGTGAATTGCTGTTTGGAAGCAGGGAACCAAACCTGGGTCTTTTGCAAGATCAACAAATGCTCTTAACTACTAAGCCATCTCTCCAGCCTAAAGCTAATTAATACCTACTCTCAAGAAATCTCCAACCAGATGTTATGGTACGTATCCTGTAATCCCAGCACTTGGGAAGTGAAGACAGGAGATCGGGAGTCAAGGTCAACCTTAACTACAATGAGATCCTGTTTCCAAAAATTAAAACTTCAATCTATAAAATTAGGAAAAAGGAACTCAAAATGTTATCACAAATGTATATACAGTTTGGTTCCACCTACAGTTTTAGACATCCACTGGGAATCTTGGATCTTATCTCCCACAGACATTCTCTGGTATCAGAACAAAGTCTGTGTGCCTCTACTTTCCATTGCATTTTGATCCCTTAGTACAACTAAGATACATCATCCTTCTCCTCCCCAAGAAGCTATAAGGAGTGGTGGCAGTCCCACCTGCTGAGGCCAGGTTCTGGTAGTTCTCCAGCATCACTTCTCTGTAGAGGTCTCTGTGAGCTTGATCCAATAAAATCCATTCTTCTTGTGTGAAGTCCACAGCCACATCATCAAAAGTTACTGAGACCTAAATCACACACACACACACACACACACACACACACACACACATATATATATATATATATATATATATATAGAGAGAGAGAGAGAGAGAGAGAGAACTTGAGTAAACAATAACATATATATCAATGGTCTCTACAGTTGAAGAAGTAAGACCTAATACCCATACAGAAATATGAGAGCTTCCATTGACTGCCCCAGGGCTTAGTGGCCCTAACCTCGCCCTCATCTACACTCAAATTGTTGCTCTGCTCCAGACATTTACTATTAATGACCATTCTGACAGGTGAACAGTCTGCCACAACTAGACTAGAAAGCCTTCTCTCAATTTCTTAAAATATACTTCTAAGCACATTACATAATTACCTTAAATGGTAAGGACACCAGATCTTCCTTATCATCTGTCAGAAAAACTAAACTGAACTAAATGTGCAAAGATTAATTAGTAATTATTGAAATTATAGGATGATGTTTAGTTAATACCTCAACCATATCAGAGTCCCCACTCTCAGAAATTCAATTAGGTACTCAGTTCTTGAGGGGACTTCTACTTGTTTTAGAAACTCTAGACATAAGTCTGCCCCCAAAGAAGGTAGAGAGGTACACTTGTCATTTGTGAGACACAGTTCCTACATACCTGGTAACAATTTGTCAGGCAATCAGCCACCATCTTTTCTACCTTTATCTTTTCTTCAAGAATGGAGTCTGAGTCCCTTACAAAGAGTTCCTAGAAAAGACAGAAGACATGAGAACCTGGAGCTGCCTTTAATTCTTGTACACCTTGACATCATTCTGTCTGCCAGTCTCCTTTCCTGTTGCCGTTATAAAATACTCTGACAAAAGCCACGTAAGAAGGGCTTATTCTAGCTCACAGTTTTAGGTATAGTCCATCACATCATGGTGGGAAAGTAAAGGAGTTTAAGGCAGCTGGTCACATTACAACCACAATCAGCAAGCAGAAAAGCAATGGCTGCATTGCTCAGCTCACTCTCTATTTTCTACAATCCAGGATCCTTGCTGGAGTTAAAATGGGTCTTCCTCCATAAATCAACCTAATCAAGATAATCCCTCCCAGACATTCAGAGGCTACCCATAACCTAGACAGTACCTCAAAGGTGTGCCAGAGATCTGTCCCCTAGGTAATATTAGAACCTGTTGACAATTAACAATAACTATTACACAGCCCTAATATGAAATCCATGTAATCCTGCACATCTGAGAAAAATCACAAACATGTGATGCCAGTCCTGTGTTATCTACAACCAGGAAATGGATAAACCATATTACCCACTGGGAAATGTCTCATTTTATAGGGAAGACAACTTCAAGTCCGAAACACTTTATTTTCCCCTAGTAATATCTCATCTGGATTATGTAGTACTTTTCAAAACACACATACCAAGGGCCAGACTTAAAATCTGCACTATTATGGTTTGGGCATTGAAATGGTCTCACAAATTCATGTGTTGACAGCTTGGTAAGACAGTAGTGTACACCTCCTTTGGTAGGTGACTGGATCATGAGAGATCAATCATAAACTGATTAAGTTATGGATATATAACTTAATGGGCATGAGGTAGCAGGATTTAGGGTGTGGGACCTAGATGGAGGAAGGTCACTGAGGATGTGTTCCTGAGAAGGTATTTTTCCTGCACTCTTCCACTTGCTCTGTTTCTGCTTCCTGTCAAGTTTTTCTTTGTTTTGAGACAAGGTCTCATGTAGTCTAGGCTGGCCTCAAGCTTGATATGTAGCCAAAGATAAAACTTGTATTCCTAATCTTCCTACCTTACAGGTGTGCACTACCCATACCTGATTTACATGGTGTTGGAGGAAATCAGGGTCTTTGGACCTGCCAGGTAACTGACCTCCCAGCTGACTCCAGCCCCAATGTCAGGTATTTATCACAGTGATAGAAAATTAACACAAACATTCACTAGTCTACTAAGTGGCCCTAAAGTAAACTAAGCAGGATAGTATGACTGTTCAGGCCTGGATCACAGGAAACTTTATTATACAGGGAACGTAAATCAAATCCTTTTCAGAAGTCTGGCCATGGAACACATCAGTAGTTGCCATACTGAAGGAGGAATTGCCTATATGCTCCTTTCTCCATGCTATGGCAACCTCACTTAGGTATCTCAAGGGATGGTGAAACTCTATACTTCATTCAGGATTATCAGGTGTCCGTTCCTACCAATCATCAAGAAGCATTATCATACATGAGCTCACTTTCATATATGATGTAAGTAAAAGCTATTAGACCCACAACTACCACCTTGAAGGAAACTACCTCCAAACAGAACAAAGACTTAAACCTGAAACCAGAAATAATGAAACTGCTAGGAGAAGACATAGGTATTACCCTACATGATATTGGTATAGGAAAGGACTTCGTGAATAGGACTCCATTTGTTCAAGAATTAAGCCCAATGATTGCCAAAACTAAAAAGCCTCCGTACAGCTAAAGGAATAATCAACTGGGTAAAGAAGAAGCCAAGCCTACTGAATGGGAAAGAATCTTTGCCCACTGTACATCTGACATAATACCAAGAATATATAAAGAGTAAAGCAAACAAACAAAACTCAAAAAACAAATGACCCATTTAAAAAAAATGAACCTGGTTGGGCAGTCCAAGAGACTTCTAAAACATAGAGGCAACTGCTATTACTCCCCCTACTCCCCCAGAGACTGAAGGAAGTCCCTATAGCTAAAGACACTATGAATTTGTATTTGTACATAACAAGAATCAGTGAAAATGAGGCAATAAATTTGAAAGAGAACAAGAACAGGTATATGAGAAGGTTTGGAGGAAGGCAAAGGAAAAGAGAAATAATGTAATTATAATCTCAAAATTAAAAGAGAAAAATTGAATAAAAGAGAAATAATTGGAGTCTTGGAGGTCCCTACCCTCATCAACAATAAACCAGACATAATAAAGTGGTCTGGAGAAGGTTAGAAGTGAGTATCAACATGAAAAGCTTGAAATAACTAGCAATCATACTACTTAACCCATCCAGCACAATTTATTGTTGTCTTCACCTGACCTACAACAGTGAACATTTCATTGGCCAGTATAAAGGTCCCTGAGTCTTGAAGTAAAACCATTAGCTACCACAGGCAGATGGTCATACCAATTGTTTTGTTTCAGGACATGACTTCATTATGTAGCCAAGGCTAGCCTCATGATCTTCTGGCTCTTTCTGAGTTGTCACTTTTTGAGTCATTGCAATTACTGGCCTCCACCATCACATACATCTTCAACTCATTTTTTAATATGACATATACTGACAAAGTTGATGTCATTTTTTCCACTCTAGTTTATAATGAACTGGAAGCAGTTCGCACTGACTTGACAAGATGAACAACATATCTTTACAACATCCCTCTATCTGTCTGCTCTCCCCAGAGGACTGGGCAAACAATGAAGCAGCTCACAGGTGACATTGTGTTGATTGAATTCAACTACAAAAGTGTCAAAATCCTACAAAAACTTTTAGAAGAGATACATAGCTCTGATAGTAGCATGTGACTGAGGAGCCAGAGGCAGGCAGAGATCTCTGAGTTCCAGGTGATCATCATCTACTTATCCAGCTCCAAGCCAGGCAGGGATACACAGTGAGACCCTATCTCAAAAAAAAGGTAGGCATGGTAATACACATCTGTAATCCCAGCACTAAGGAAACAGAGGCAGGAAGATTGTAAATTCAAGACCTCTCTAGGCTACATAAGGAGACTTTATTCAAAACTAAAATAAAGAAACCATATCACAAACTTCTCCAATCATGCAAGAGGGAGGGAGGTGGGCTAGTGAGATGGCTCAGCAGGTAAAGGAACCCGCTTGCCTGCTGACTGACTTCAATCCCTAGGACTCAAAACAGTAGGGGGAAGCTGTAGGTCATCCTCTCTAACCTCCACGTATCTGTTGTGGCATCTTGGCACACACACACAAATATGAAAGTATACTAAAAAAAAAAAGACGTAGTGTGGCAGATTTAGGAGTGAGATTTTCTAAAGGATCAGTGCTATAGTCAAGTTGAAAGACCCCCACTATGCTTATTGCCTGTTTAAATTGCTCTTGCTAATTTGCCAAGGTCAAACTATGAGAAAAGTACAGGAGGGAACCAGGTGCTGCTCTCATCCAACGCCAACCAGATATCTGTGGTCTGCAGCTTGGACCAAAGCAAGGTCAACAGGACAGTGTCCAGTATGCTGAGATAGTCATAACTGAATTCTTTGTATTCTTTGTGCCCAACCCGAATAACCAACTGTCCTTGGTTAACTACAACTGCTACATTTAGATGAAACAATGAAATCCCTGTAACCATGCTTCTGCTTCTGTAAGCCTGCTTCTTGCCACCCCAACCCTATATAAACTGCCTGAGTTTTAACCTCAGCACGCTCAGTCCCCCCGAAAGACTGAAGCGTCCACAGGTACCTGTGTAAACAATAAACAACCTCTTGCACTTGCATCCAGTGGTCTGGTCTCGTCTCTTGGGGGCAAGGGCCTTCCCCCCTGACAGGCTCCAAACTCTTGGGGTCTCTGGGGGTCTTTCATTGGAGGTTCCACCGAGATTGGAGACCCTTCCCCCTAGAGACTGACACTGACACCCACCGGGAGGTAAGCTGGCCAGCGCTTAATTTCTGTTCTTTGTTGTCTTGTTCATATGTCTTTTACTTGTTGCTTGTTGCGCAGCGATCGGTAATCGGCTAGGCTAGTCGAGTCTGTAGGCGGCTTGAGAAGGAGCTGACGAGCTCGGACTTCCACCCGCCACCCTGGGAGACGTCTCAGGGATCTGGGGCGCCCGATTTTTCGGGGCCCACAACGAGTCCCAGGGATTCGTGGTTTTGGGGGGCCCAGGGGGCTTAAGACCCTCTGTGCCTCCAACTCAGTATCTGGTTTCGGTTTTACGCGGAAAACGCGCAGCGTGTCCTTATGCCGGCTGTCTATGTGTTTTGTCTGTTCTGTTTATCTGTCTGATTCTTTATTTCGAAGAAAATATGAAACAATCTTTAACCACCCCCTTAAGTTTATTTTAGATCATTGATGATGTACAGAGTCGAGCTCACAATCAGTTGGTTAAAGGAAAAAAACTGTGTCGGACTCCCCGGTAGCCAGCTGACTCAGATCAAAGGGAGCCAGCCACCGAAGGAACCTGCTGAGCCTTTCCCCTGCCCAGGCTGCTGGATTAGGAGGCCAATTTCAATTTCAATACTGGTCTTTCTCGGCGTCCAACCTTTATAATTGAAAAATCTAACAACCCCTCCTTCTCCAAAAACCCTGTAGCTCTCTAACCTACTTGAATATGGCTTTTGCAGGTCCTCCTAACCTTGGGGGGGGGGGGGGACAACGCATCTTCCTGGGAAAAACGTCTAATTTGGCAACTCAGTTGCCAAATAAAATTGAGGAAATTTTTCCCCTAAATCGTCCCTGCTGGGACTTTAACACCTACGACTTTATCGCCAGTTACTCACAGCGGGTCTCCGCAGGCCTGGGACGCTGTCCCAGGAATTTGGCTGAGGTAAGACAGATAACCCAGGGACCGGAGGAAACTCCGACTGCATTTTTGAAGAGGCTAAAGGAAGCCTACTGTATGTATACACCCTTTGATCCTGATAGTAACGAGCAAAGGGGCAATGTTTCTATGGCTTTCATTTGGCAGTCGGCTCCAGATATTAGGACTAAGTTGCAGAGATTAGATAATTTACAAGATTATAGCCTGCAGGATCTGGTAAAGGAAGCAGAAAAGATC